TGAATGGAGCATGTACAATTACACATAAATGTAAGTATTCTGGAAATTTTTAATGCAAACTGAGTGCGAGTGTTACACTGCAAATTAACTGGTTTTACTTGATATTTTATTTTTAAATGAAGTTGCTTTGGCCAATAACAGTAATCTCTCCTTTTCATTAATTATTATAGAACACTAGGAATGTAAGGCAAAGAATAAAAATTGCCACTATTTTTGCATTTTTTGTAAAAAAAATTATGAAAGGATGACTTTTACTTAATTGTTTGAACAGCCTGTAAATTGTTCATTGTGTTACCTAAATAATATTAATCAATTCTTCTGTTTCTGCCTTTCCTTTGTTTATCTCCCTTAGTGACCCCCCCGTTTTTTAAGGAACACTTTTAGACCATCTCCATCGGACCCGTTTCTATTGAAAGGGCTATTACTGACCCGACATGCAATCCCTCTAATATCTCTGATATTCTGAGCATTGTCAGTAAGAACTGCAACCGTTTTCCTCCTTATATTTATCATACTTGAGATTTACTTGACCAACCCCCTCCCCAACCACCACTGAGCTATGCTGTGACACAAGGTCAGTTTTTAACATGCGACTCAAGTGTTTCCACTCAGGCTGCTGGTCTAAGCTGGTTTTAACTTGTCTAAGCTAGTCATAGCCGATCATAACATCACTATGTAACAGATGTCATGCAATGGTGGTGGTGGGGGGGATGCAAGGGAGGAGAGAAGGCCTCTGGCATAGAACAGATACTACATCTACAGCATCCTTCCTGGCTGGAATAACCCCCTTATCTTCCTATGCCTATCCTTTCTGAAGAATCTGGAAGAAGAACCTTTCTGTTTATCATTCTCATTAAGTTTTATTTCTTGACTTTCTATCATATTTGACTAATAATTCCTTAATTACTGTTATCACCTTTTTTTACCCCATGTGAGCCATAATTTCATTCTGCTCATTTTCCCTCTTCCTACAGCTTGTAATTTCTATTCATGTTCATTCCTAGCATTCCTACCTTCCCATAACTATTTATGAAAAAACTATGAAAATACCTTCAATTAAGTAAGCCTTCTATAAGTTATATTAGAACCCAACCCCTGCTAACAGTTCCCTGTTTTTTATATTGTGTTTATGTTTTGTTGAAGTTTGTTTATTTTATTCTTTTTTCAGTTTACCCTTTCTTGGTGATTAATAAACCTGTAGATGAACCCTAACATTGCTTCAGAGGTTTAATTGCTGAAAGGCATTGAGCTGACTGTTGAAGATATGCATTGCATGCATTTCCCAAAATGGATGCATGTCCGGAGAACAGTACATCAATAATGTTATCGCCTATAATCTCCTGTATATGCTATCAATTTCCTGTTCTTAGGTCTTTTCAGTATTAAATCAGTTCTAATCAGCTAATCGTGGATAAAATCTAAGATTTGATGATTTATACTCTTACACTGAATAATATGTTTCTAAATTCTTTTACCAAGATTTGAGATTAACCAAATGAATCTGACAAGTCTTAAAATAGCATTTAGCTTGCACTTTATCCAGTCTCATCCAAGGGATTGATATTTTTTTTATTTTAATTATTGTATGTGCTAATTTTAAAAAAAAATTATCAATTAATATGATTAACTTCTACTTTGAAATTTCTTTTATGAATATTGTTATTTTTCTTTTTTTTTTTTAGTTATCTCCCATTTCACTAGTTTCAATATTGACATTTAAATGTTCAGAAGCCTGCATAACTTAAAGATTTTTGTTCTTCTTCAGGTGCATCTAAAACATCTTCAAAGAAAGAAAATTGTATTCATTTCTATGGCAATATTGACTAGAGTTCAGACTTGTATTCCTATTTTGATTCTCAATGTTTGCCATGCTGTGCAAAAATCTTTGTAGACTTTTGATATAATTGATAAACTTAAATCTTTTTCAAAATAACTACAGAAAAAAAAGCATGTAAATATTTTTTTTTAAACAAACTGCTTGAATGATGAGAAGTCTTTAATTTGTGCCTTCTTTTATGTTATTAAATCTCCAAATGTTTTGATACTTATTTTTAATTTTATATATTACTGCATTTACATTGTGATGGCAATACTTAAGTAATATTTTTTGCATGTGTAATCTAAGATTTTGATCTATACACTTAACTCTATGTAAAAAGAAATTCTGCTTTTCAAATCATTAAAAAATAAAATTATCCAAAGAAACCTAACAAAAAATAAATAAAAAAAATATTAGCACTCTGATCCCCCCAATTACTAATGAGGTATTCCATAGTTATAGTCACCTAAAGCATGTTTATTTATTGGTATCAAGAAATACCTCCTATTAACAAATAAATATGTCATTCCTAAGTAGGGAAGATCAGGCTGCATGACTGATAAATATATAAAGACACATTTTTGTTTTAAATTATAAAATAGATTATTCTAAGTTTTTTTTTTAAATCATCTTTGTTCAATGTGTTATCAGACAATGCATAGTCTTCAAGTGGCTACATTTTTTATTCTATTTTGCATGGTAATATATAAATATACCATTTCTTGATATATATTCCCTATTCACTGTAACATTCAAAGCAGATATCTTTTAATATACTCTGAAACTTCAATGATTTTTCTCAAATGGTTTGTGCTATTTATTGTATGACACCAGTAATTGCAGTTAATCTTGGATTATTCTTAACTTCATATTCAGTTCCTGTCAGTATGAGAAGAGTTCTTAATAATCTATTGCTTTGAATTAGCAATAGCATTGTCATCTGTGATAGTGATTTTCCAAGCATAGCTTCAATGTGGCACAAGGCTGAAAGTATGGGGTATCCAGTGAGGATCAAACTCACTATTCAGTTGTAAATGTTCTAGCGAGACAAACTTGCTAACCATTACACCACCTCAAGGTGCCCTTGTCATCTGTGATAAACTGGCTTCTGTGACTTCAAGTTATGTTTTGCTCACATTCTCCTTATCTTCTCTTGTTGCTTTATTTTCTTATTGTTTATTGAGAACTTTGTCAATTCTGTTTCATGAACATTTTGCTGACTACACTTGACCATAATATAAAATTATATTTTATAAAATAGATAATTTTAACAGTAAATAAATATATAAATCTACTTAGCTTACTTTATTTTCGAGGATAATAACTTACTGTTTATAGAGTTATTGATTACAAAGGAGGCAGTCTTAATTCTGTGATTTGCTTTGATTAAGCTAAGTATAAGCACAAGGATACTCTTAATTTTAAAAAGGAAGTATTTAGCACTCAGATAAAAGTATATATCTCATTTAGTTTTCAGTTTAAGATAAAATGAATACAATAGATTTAAATCTTAATTGAAAAGGTTTTAAACTATTCCTATAAATAATGTTCCCCATTTATTTTAACTGTTTTATGTTTTAAAGGCCTTGAGCCTCTACATAAATTTTTTCTTAATGGTTCATAAGTTATTAAACATTGTTTATGCAATTTTCTAAATATTCAATGAAAATGCTTTTCTAATGCAGTTTTCAAAGAAATCCACAATAGGTTATAAGTTTTTTGATGTTAATCACCTATATACATAAACTATATAAGAAGTCTATTTCATACAAAATCAATTCATAAAGTCATTATGAAATGAATCTCAACATACAGAAAGTGAAAAAAATTTCAGGTTTTACTTTAAAAATTTAATTTTATAATTTCTGATATAATAGATTCTTATTTTTTATTTTGTTTACTTCATCTGAGAATGATAATATATACAATACTCATGTTGTTTATTTGATACCTGTATTGATTGTTCTTTTTGTTTTGATATATTGCCCATATGACTTTAAAATTATGATCATCAAATTGTATTATCTTCTTTTGGTTAAAAAATCTATATTGCATTATAAGAGCATAATATAAGGTAATAAGTATTGTAATGTTGACTTCGTTTTGGGCTATATCTTCTAATTTTAGTAATTTACAAGTGGCTTTGATAAGTAAATAGTAATGTATCAAAAATTTCAGTTCATTAAAAATGTCAGAGTTAATCTTTTAATTTCAACATAGCTTGGATATTTCAGAGAATGGATAGTTAGAATAATTTTTAGTTTTTGATTTTAACACTACTAAAGAACATGACATCAAACATACATTTCAGCATACATTTATAGTTTTTCAGTAAAACTAGAAATGCACTTTAATAAAAATGTATATTTAATGTATTTTAATAGTCATTATATTTACTTTTTTTTAAACATTAATCATTGATATATTTCAATTAAGGAAAAAAGTTTATTCAGCTTAATTAAGCAGTAGCATTTAAATAATTAAAAAAAATATCAAACATAATTACTCATACAGCAAAAGTAATGAAAAGCTATCAAATTACTTTTGTTAAATTCTAATTAAAATTATGAACATTTTATTGATGATTATACTTTAATGTATGTTAATTTCGATTGTGTTCCATTAAAGGGAAATTTAAGCTACTTTTTGCCGCTGTTTTTTAAAAAAATTTTTAATGTTAGTTTCAAAATGATGTAGCTTAAAGATATGATCAAATTTGTGTATTAAGTTATAAAGTTGCCTTAGCTCAGAATAGACTAACAACAAGCAGGGAAATTGCCTTCTAATAACATTTTTTAAGTTTTCTGTCTTTGTGAAGATACATCAGTGTGATTTTTTTTTCAATATTAATCTATTTATAGTGTCAAAAATATCAAATTAAGCATATTTATAAAATGTGTCAAAATAAAAAAAATAATTTGTCTTAAAGATTCTATTACTTTTTACTTTGTGTATTTTAATGTAAAAAAAATAAAGATTTAACAACTTTCAAGACTCATTATTCTTATTTCAATTTTTCATTTCTATCCCAAAAATGTGTGCCTCAATAGTGTGATGTCTGATAAAACGTAAAAGATGCCATAATTTTCCTGAATATAATGTACATGTTTTCTTTTAATTTTGTCATGATTCATTTTATATAATTCCTTATTTTATCTATTAATTTATTCTTATATCATGTTGAAACACTGGTCTTTGTCTGATCACTGAAGTTATACAATGTTGAGTCTAATTAGTACTTAGATGGGTGATCACTTGGGAATACCAAGTGCTGTAAGCTTGAGGACGTGCAGCTGGTGCAACAGATAGCAGAATGAGAAATCAGAGAGCCAAGTTCAAATGCCAATCAAGTTCATTGCATTCATTTTTGCACAAATACCCTTGGGAAAGGTATGAATACATTTCTTCTCCCTCTGGCTATGGGTTAAACAGTAGGACAGTGGGATTTTCAGCTCTTGTTGGGAACCAGTCTGTATATCTTTGGGTTTTTTTTTCTGATTTTACTTATTTTAGGAACTTGTAAAATTTTTAGAGTCATGCAATGAGGTTGTCTACTTGTTCATCTTATCAATGAACGCCATGTTTCCCATATAGTAATGGCTAATTTCACCCTTACCGTTATTGTTGTAACCTAGGGGAGGTTACTGAATAGAATAATCAAACGAAGGTTGGTAATGAACGATAATACTTAGGACAAGAACAACATATTTAAGATTCGCCAGCAGCGTATAGAAGTAATAGTCAACTGCTAAAAGTGAGTCAAGTGAATTCCACAATGAATCTCCAACTCTAGACTATGTACAGTATTCACTACTGTATTTATGGGAATGGAGGCATACCCATTATCATCCGTAGGTGTGATACAACAGTTATCCACTTAGAAAACTCAAAGTAACAAGGAGAAAGAAAGGCAAATGCATGAATGTCATATTTGCTCCATTTTCTAAAAGATGCTATATAGTTGCCAACTTAATGAAAAGATTGTCACTTTGCTCAAATATTTCAAAAAAGGAAAGTGATGCTATGTGTATACAAATTTAGTGTTATATCTTGTAACAACACATAATATCTTATACTCAAAACTGCACATTATAAACTGTTACAGAATTTTTCTACATGCAGTTATGGATTTCACTCAAATGAGATTATTTGCAGTTCAGTCTGGCATAATTTGATCTTTATTTCTATAGAGTAAAAGTAAAGATCAAACTCATTTGTGAGATTATTTTTTTATTTTTTTAACTAAATTTCACTCAAAACGAGTTTCAAGGGTCCCTCATAGTCAAACTGGTAATGATAAATGAAGTGTTTGATATAAATGAAAGAGAAGGTGGTAGGTAGAAAGTGAAGATTATGAGCATAAGGAGGATAGGTAATGACACTCTTCACTTGAGGAGGTAAAGATTAAAGTGTTCAGAGAATCCACCCAAATGGTAGTCTGTTCCACAAACTGACAGTTTTTGAGAAATAACTGGGTGAAACTTCCTTCTTACATTTAGAACACAAAGGAAATAAAAAGTGATTAAAACTCAATAACATGGTATATCCTAGCAGTAAAGGTCTGAACTGGTAGAAGTAATAAATGAAGCTAATCTGAACATTTGCCATGGAAATAGCAAAGATTAGTGACAAGCTTGCAATGTTGCATCTGTTAGAAGTTGCAGAGTGAAAAATAAGTTTTCTTCTACAACAGTGTATAAACAATTTTTGAACTCTATTGAGATTGGTAAGTGAGAATTGAGTAACTCCAACCCAGATAGATATATATATATATACATATATATTTTTAACTCTTCAGCTGCTAACTACAGAGATCTTCGTTTTTCTTATCTTGCTCCAGCTGGCTAAGTACAGAAACCTATGTTTTTTGCATACCGCTGGTATGAGTGTCCCATAGTGCCATCAATCGTAAAATACAGGAAATTCTAACTGTTCTATCATGCAAATTATTAGTCAGCCTCGATTTTTCTCTACATCATGGTAGTTTCGTATTTAATTTGAAAATATTCCTGACGAAAATGCGTCTAGCATGCGGATGCTCCCAGCGCCATGACCTTAGGTTATACCAAGATGGCGGCGCCCATGAAACGAGCAGCGTGGCTGTCTGCGGAAGGTGTTTTGGCAGAAATATTTGCTGACGATGACTCTGAATCAGATCAATTTAGCGAAAATTCTGATTCTGATGATCCCGAGTACGTGCGGAAGGATGGTAATGGTCATGAAAGTGAAACTGACGGAAACATTAGCGATGATTTGAGCAATCACGTTGATGTTGACGTAAATGTTCATCATGGCCAAGGTGATGGTCAGCCCGTAGGCGTAGGCGCTGCCAGTGTAGTAAATAATGCAATGCTTGCAGCACCTGGTGGACCTGTTGCAATGTCTGCAGCACCAGCTGTGCATAGGCCTGGCCCTGCTGATCCTGGTAATGCTCCACAGCTGGCTCCAGCCTGTGGTAGACGAAATCAGGACAGGAGAAATCAAAATCATGTGGGGTACTGGACAAATATTGACAGACTTCCACATGTGCATCAGTTCACTGGCATTCCAGGCATAAATATGCAGCCCAATGATCCAGGGTGTTGCCTTCATTGGTTGAAAATGTTTCTCACGGATGACCTTGTAAACATTATTGTGCTAGAAACAAATAGATATGCTCAACAATATTTCCAGGAACATCCCAATCTGAAACAGTATTCTTGCTGTTGCCGGTGGAAGGACTTGACAACAGAAAACTTTTGGCCGTTCATGGCCTTACTGTTCAACACAGGAATAGTGAAAAAGCCTGAGATTCAGATGTACTGGAGCACTGATCAGAAAGTGGCGACTCCATTTTATTCAGAGACCATGGCTAGGGATAAATTTCTTCTGATTCTGAAGTTTCTTCTCTACAAGATCCGTCCTGTTTATGATTACATTATAAACAGGTTCAAAGCTGTGTACACTCCTGAGGAAAAACTTTCCCTAGATGAAGGGATGCTCAAATGGGATTACCTGTGTGAGATTTTGGGTCTATAATCCTCAGAAGCCTGACAAATATGGGATGAAAGGGTACATTGTTTCCAAGTCGAGTAGTGGTTACGTCTGTAACTATGAACTCTATTGTGGTATTGGCAGAACAGTTCAGCAGATATGTGGTGGACTTCTGGAGCACCTATATGGCTTTGGCTATAAAGTGTACTTGGACAACTATTACAACAGGGTCGCATTGGCCAAATTCTTTCTGGAAGATGAGCGGAAAGTTCATGTTTGTGGCACACTTCGGCTGAACCGTGGTGCTCCTCGTGACCTGCGTCAGGAAGCTGATCGCCTTCAGCGGGAACAGGTGACATTTCGTAGGGATGGAGATGTGTTAGTGCTTATGTGGAAGGACAAACGCCCAGTGAAAATGATCTCCACTCTCCATGACTCTAGGATGGAGGATTCTGGTACTCAGGACAAGAACAATCAGCCAATTCAAAAACCTGCATGTGTGCTGGACTACAACAAACATATGTCAGGTGTTGACAAACTGGACCAGATGGCAAAATATTATCCCTGTATGCGCAAACCCATCAAGTGGAGCAAGAAATTTGTGCTATATTTGTTTAAATTGTGCATTGAGAACTCCCACATCCTGTACAACAAGGCAAATCCACAGAAAAAAACTTGCATTGCTGGATTTCAGGATGGAACTGATTGATGACATTCTTGCAGAATTTGGTCAAGCCGAGGCTGCCGCCCCCGACCATCATTCCTCTGACTCTGAAAATGAAGGGGAAGCTTGTCAAGCTATGGTATGTTCAAGGGCACCTAAAATTGATCCTGCCAATCGCCTGGTTGGTGAAATGAAAGCTCATGACTTGGTAGAAATTCCACCAACCAACAAGAAAAGGTACCCTTTCAAGCCACGCAGAGTCTGCAAAAAAGCTGAAAAACGCTCAGAAACAAGGTACTTCTGCAAAAAAGTGTGAAGTCCCACTCCACAAAGGACAATGCTTCAAAAGATATGTGTATACCCATTACTGATCTGGTAAGTCATTCCCAGGTATATCCATGAAAATGGAATGCTGTAAAACACACTGGTGCCAGTTTTCTGTGTAATAAAATATATAGGTTGAAATTTGGCATTTTCTTTAAAAATGGCTGGCCGGATGGGGGCAGTACTGGGCAAATGAGTAGCAGTGAAAGTGTCAATCAATTCATTCCCAAGCAAGGCGATAATTCAACTAAGATGCGAGTGAATGAAAGAGAATAAGAAGACTTTAGGAACTGGAAACCTAATCCTAAACAGAAAATGAGATAAACCTCTACTCCTGTTCAAAAGAATTGAGAGGAGAGTGAACCAGGTGATAGTTGAACCTATCTATTCCTAATCAGTGAAAATAAAAAATAAATAGTACATAAAGTTTTAGAGCTTATGACAGCAATATTCCATTTCTGGTATAATCTGACTCTAAAACATATCAGAAGGAATTAGATACTTCCTGGCTTGCTCACCAATTATCATCACTGGTACTTCAAAAATTGTAGAAATACACAGAATGTAGAAGCCAATCTTCAATATTTTCATCATTATTTCTACATTGTTTCTGTGAAAATAAATACAAGTTCATTGACATATAATTGATATTTATTTATTCAGCTCAGCTTAATGTGTTACAATGTCATACATGTGGAGCACTCAGAACTACTTTTTTTTTTTTTGTTTAATTGAATTTACCCCAAGCAAGGCAGTAAAACCACTAAGACACAAGGGATTACTGGGTGTGAAAGAATTAGAAAACAGAAACAATATGAAGTAGCGAAAACAATAGAAGAGTAATCAGGAAAACAGTAGATAATGATTGGCTTTGCATTTAAATTTTGGAAGATCAAAGTTGGCTGGAAAGCATGGAGCTGGAAGAGAGTTCCAAAAGCAAAAAGTGTGAGAAAAGAAACTTTTAGCATGAAACCTTAAAGTTGTCTGTTTCTTTTTCTGTAGTTCACTGCTACCAGCAAGCAGAAATATTTCTCCTCCCGATGATGGCCATTTCGGTCGAAACTAGTCGAGGAATCTAAATGGAATAATAATAAAAAAAATGAAAGAATATTAATCTACAACCCAGTGTGTCTAAAGATTTTAATTTTTTATTTTCTTAATGTTCAAAATATATATATATATATATATATATATATATAAACACTGATAATAATTTTTAATCTTTTTTAAATCATATTAAATAATATTTTCAATTATGAATAAATATATCTAATACACTGTTTTTACTGGTAGTGTTAAAGATGAAGAATCAATGACAATGAAATTCATTTTGTGATATAAAACTGACTTAAAATTTTGTTTTCTATCATCAAAATTGATTGCAAATGTTGGTTAGTTAAGACTGACATGCAGATTTAGCATGCAATTAAGCAATAGAAAATGTCTTTTTGCATAAGTATATTGAGTCAAATACTTAAATTAGTTGTTGGTAAAAGATTTTAAAGCAGGATATTCATCTGGGGGCATTTGTAAAAGTCAACTTTCTCTTTCTTGTTATACTTGAACTGCAGGTCAATTACTTTTAATTGGAGATCTGGTGGGAGGTCATCAAACCCATCAACAAAAAATATTTATTTTAATTTTATATGTAATAATATTAAATGGAAAATTATATAAAAAATATTATTTACGAATAAGGGCATATATTATATGACCTTTAGGCTGGATGAAATATAGTAGACCAAATTTTGCCCAATGATCATTTGTTTGCTAACCTCAGCTTCGTGAGAAAGTGATCCTCCAGTAGATATTTAAAATATTTTTTAAAATTTGATTGTTATTCAAGGCTACATTACTCCTATGAATTTATTATTATTTTGCTGCTATTTGAACCTTTGACAAATAATGTTTATCTTCATTTCCTTCATGAACATAGTGTAATACTACCAGACTATTTCAATAGTACCGAACCAAAGCTAGTTAGTTATCTACCCAGCATTGCTCTAGGAGGGTTAGCAAACTTTTTTTGAAATAGACTAGACTGACAATGTTTTTCTGAAACTTGCAGAGCAATACGAACTCAATGTAAATATATATATATTTACTTTGAGAAGTCTGTATTTTATACCATATTAAATAATATTTTCTATTATGAATAAATATATCTAATACAGTTTTTTTTTTTTTTTTACTGATAGTGTTAAAGATGCAGAATCAATATGAATCATGAAATTTATTTTGTGATAAAAGTAAAACTGACTCAAAATTTGTGTTTTCTGTTATCAACATTGACTAAATAAAAAAGCGAATTTGAGCAAAGTAGTTATTGGAAGAATGTTCTCTAAATCAATTATCTCATGGTTTAGACAAGAAAACTGCATATTTAATATTGTTTTGATTGAAAGTAAACAAAAAGAACTAAGAGACACATATCCTTTGATATGAATAGTTATAAAGCAGATCTGTTTTCCATCAGTTAATAATGGTCTAGTTACTGGGGTGGATTTTACAAGTAGTAAAAAATCTATACTTGGTGTCCAGTTCGAATTGTGGTTAACGTAACAGTACTACTGGCGTAATATCTAGTGACTGCTTGGAATTAACTTGATAGTTCTTGTGAAAATCATTTAATTACAATACAGTGTAACCCGGATATAAGAGAGTTGTGGGGGACCGGAGAAGTCTCTTATATCCGGGTTTCTCTTATATCCGGGTTTGGTCTATTTTGTTTAGGTAAGTATGGGCTCTAATTTGGGACCAGAGAAAATCTCTCTTATATCCGGGTTACACTGTACTGAATTAATTAGCAACTCAGGTAAAACAAGGAACTGTTCGGTTTCGTATTGAGTTAAGTAGAAAAGAAAAAAATGCTTCTTCTTAACGAACCAAACAATTGAATAATTTCTTAATTTCCAGTGATAACGCAAGAAGCCTGATAGTCACTAATTCTTCTTTTTTACACTGATGATTAGTGTAAAAAAAGAATTTTTTCTTCACAATATTAATTTTACGGTGAGATAAATGATTTTATTTTTATTTCTACATTTATCATAAATCTAGAAAAATAAAATCCGATACGAGCAGGGTTTTTTTTGTTTGTTTGTTTTTTTTGTAATATAAATGAGAAAATGGAAAAATAACGCTATAAAATCTCGACTTTTCGAATATAAGTTATACTTGTTTAAGTTAAATGTTATTAAAAAAAGTTCCAAGTAAAAAAGTATATAGCCAATTTTTGTTCCTACCACTACGTGCCCCACTTTAAAACTGACTTGAAAAAAAGTAAAGAAAGAATCCTATATTAAATTAACTCTCAAGTTTCCTGGTTCACCTCTCTCACACACAGTAAGATTTTTTTTGTTAAATTATGAAAATAATGTACACCCTTTTTTCAAAACAAGGAAAATATTTTCGAGAACGCAAGGTCATTTTATGAGATGGTGATATTTTTTGCCACTTCTTCACTCTCGTTTTTTCCTAATACTGAATCATGTCGCACGTTACAGATATTTTTAACTTTGAATGAAAGCAAACGTTTGTTATTTTTTCTTTTAAAAAGTTAGTTATATGAATCTTGATCAAAATAAAAGAGGCAAAAGAAAAACGTATGTGGAGAAAAAATATAATCCTGAACAATGTTCCGTGAAAGGCGAGTTATTTTGTTAAAAATTGAATAATTCGTGAAGGAATCGAGTTTGGCGACAAAAAAAATACCAAGCTTGAGTTGAGTTGCTTTAGTTCTCGCCAGATCACCCACGTGGTTAAAATAAAAAGCAAAATAAAACAAATGTTGAATTTTTAAGTACCATGATTTAAAAAAAATACTTTTTTTAAAAAAATATTTTGAAATTTGTATATTATGAGGTAAAAAGATAGTGTAACCCGGATATAAGAGAAACCCGGATATAAGAGAGATTTTCTCTGGTCCCAAAGTGTTCCCATACTTACCTAAACAAAATAGACCAAACCCGGATATAAGAGACTTCTTCTCCGGTCCCGACAACTCTCTTATATCCGGGTTACACTGTAATGTAATTAGAAGCGTAGAATTTTTACATTAAAAAAAAAAAAACATCCCCATAAAATCAGTGAAAACAAGTTATCTTTTTTTGGACACGGCATGGAACTCAACCCATCAATTAAGCGCAGTTCTTGATTTAATTACTAAATAAAAAAAAAAATACTAATTTTATTTTTAGTATGCTTTTTTTTTTTTTTTTTTTTTAAAAAAAAATCATTGAGATTTCCTCTCGTCCTTACATTGTGGATTGGAAAAGTAAGTTTAATAATTTGATTTTAAAGTAGATTCAATTCCATCGAGGAAGATGAGGCAAGAACGAAAAATTAATGTATGATGAATTATTGAATTCTCTTGGCTTTGGCGTAAAATCAACGTGTCCCGAATGCGACAAGTAATGTAGCAAGTGCACCTCCCCGTGGAGCGATGCTGGCTTTGCAGACTGTTACTGCTGTAGTGAATTCGATCCTCGCAGGGGACTCTACACTTACATGAAAACAACCCTATAGGCTAAAAAATGGTGCATATATAGGCCCTACATGCACCATTTTTTAGCCTCGTTTGTCAAGTAATTTATCGTAATTATTATATTTGGTAGCTTAACAAAAGAAAATAGACTTCTCTCTCTCTTACTTAAAAATAAATATAAAAAATTATCTTTTTTAAAGCACAAAAACTTAAAGCCAAAGTTTCATGGGTTAATCTTCTAAGAAGAGCAAGGCAGCCCTTCCTTAAAAATCAGTATTCGAAATCGTATCAAAACACTAACAATTTGGAAATAAATAATAATAATAATAACTACTATTTTTTTAAAAATGTTTTAAAAGAAATATCGTAACACCCAAACGTAGACCAAGACGAAAACGAGGCTGATCCACGTGACCAAGGCTACGCACGCACATACATATATATATAACGACGAAGAGGGGGCAGTTCTTTTTCCTTGCAGTTTCCGTGCGTATTGCTTCGTTGCTCAGCGAGAATAGTAGTATTTCATAATGTCACCCAAAAGCACTAAGGTATGGTTTTTGTTAATGTATGCTATCACTCTTTTTACCAACCACCAACTAAATTTATATTTGATATCTAATGATGTCAAAGTGTGATTTTTATTTAGTTACATCAATTCTCTGCAAGCCATAATGGTGGCTGATGCTCAATCCGCTTACCTCCACGTGTTAAAATTCCTCCACGGTCAATTTCGGGATGTTCCCGATTAATGTCCTATTTTATTAACTAATTATGCCTGATCTAAATTCACCAAACTATTGTGAATTTTTCATTATGCACTTATTTAAAAATAATTTATATTTTCTTTTTTACTGATACATTTCTTATTTTATTTTTCAATTGGAGAAAAAAAAAACTATCACATTCAGACTGAATGTGGTCTGATTAAGGGGATGGATACAATTTTCACTATCTACTCATGCATATTCCTACATAAGTTTGATTTATAAAGAATTATTTAACTGCTTTAATTCTCACAAAACTGTTTTGGTGAAGATCAGAGCATGGAGGGATTTCACTACGCCCCCTGTTTGGCATGGACAAGTCCCCACGTGGAGTTTTTCTTTATAATTGAGAAGTCATAACGCTTTGAATTTTCTTTTGCTCATAAATTCGTTTGAATTCTGCATCAACTTTCTTTAACCAGACAAAAAAGAATTAAAAGAAAATTCTTATTTTGGAATAGAAAAATTATTAAACCGTACAAAAACTGAATTTTTAATTTTCTGCATATGCTAACTAAAAACTCTATTTAAAAGTGTAATGGACCTAATTAAAATCCGTTATATTTAAGTTTCTGTTTTATGTTCATGATTTTTACATTTTGTGAATTTTTTTTTTTTTTTTGCTCGAATACGTTTTTAAGCTTTAAGCACATATAAATTCAAAATTATAGTGTGGTCAGATAGGCTAGTGACAGAATTAATAAGTCACTTTCCTGTCCATTTCATTTTGAAATGCGAATTTTCATTCATACGTCCTTTACTTGAAATCTTTTTCTCATTCTCTTAAAACTTGAGAAAGAACACCGCCCATGTCATTAGTAATTTCAAGCAGTCAAAGATATCTAGCTAGAAGTAGCTTCAATTTTAGTTATTTTCTTAAATGTGAACAGGAAATCTTAAATCTTTCAAACGGTTGATCATTGTGATAGAATGCTGTTATTAGAGAACTTATCTTAATTTTAGAGACGTTGATTCCAACCACCGGTCTAGTTTTTGGCTTCTATTCTTCAAATGTGGTACTTTTTTCTTTGTTGTTCCACAATCACGCTTCAGTTTGACTCTCGCTGGTTTTCTGAATTTATTTTTCATGGTAGCATGATTTGAGCATAGTGCGATGACTTCAATGTTGTTCCCTGTCAATTATCTACGCTAAGTGTTTTTCGCCTACTGCCAGTGCTATAATTCGGTCCCGTTTAGCATCATTGGTACCAACTAGTACTCTTCAAGGGGCTTCACTCTTCTTAATTTTCTATTACTCCCCTTAACTGATAACCCCTCCAGTCTTTATTCTAGCTATGAAATATTTGCCTAACATTTTTCCGTTCGTGTTACCTTAGCTGTTTTATCTTTGTGTTTGTCGTGAATTTTGTTTAACAAATGACGCGATCTAATTGTTAACATTGTGATAAATAGATTTGCACACCAGAGGCCCAGAAGTGGTGTTCTTGACTCCCGTGTTGAACTACACTAAAAACATTTCAACGTTGACCAATGCAGCTTACTTCCTATATCTTTGGCTAAGAAAAGAGGTGGATCTACTTTGTAAAGTTTCATTGCGATGTAAACCCACGAAAACTGAACCCATTTCAACGTGTTTATGAATGAGAAAAAAAAATTGCCTGTGCAAGCTATGATGAAAGATTAAAAATATGTACGACTCATGATAGATTTGCATTGTTTAAAGGAATTCTTGTTTGCTTGTGTAATCAAGAACGCTTAATTTATGGTTGTATGATATCTGTATTTGGAAGCTAGCAGCAGCCAGCCATTATGTTGTCCTAGTTCAGGCAGTTATGTGCCTTGCATGATACACGCTTAGTCGATCATGTATCTTTCAATACATGACGAACGAAGCAGATTTTTTTCCCAGCAATTGGTTGCCATTATTTTTGCGGTAGACCAATTGCCATCCAAGGCTATAGAACCCGGTCTGTCCTGCCGGGGCAGAAGAGGATGCTTAACTTTCCAAAGGGTATTGTTTTAGCACGTAAGTTAATGTAATGGGATTCGACCAGAATTCGAACTCTGCTTCCCAAACTCCTCAATCTGGGCCGCTATCTATTACTCTACCGTTAGTTGCAAATATTAAATTTGTCTTGTTCTTTAGTTAGGATTTTTGTTACTGCTAATATCCTATCTGTCCCAATTTTGATTTGTCTTTAATAAAGTACAATAAGAAATTTTAAACCATTTTTTTCTTTTAAACGATCTTCATGGGGAATCTGGAAAATTGGCATTGCTTTTTTTTTTTTTTTTTTTTTTTTTACAATCTTTAATCTTTATAGATTGCATAAAATGTTGCAATCTTTGTAAATGCTATATAACAGGTTTTTTATGTACACACGCGCATTAGGTATTTATTGGGGGCGGGGTTCATTCTCAAGTATTTTTTTATTTTTTATTTATTGCTCAAAAAAAGTTGGGATTGTTAACTTATGTTCTTATATAAGTCAGATATTTTTATATTTGCTAGCAGTCGTCATGGGTATCAGATTTTACAAGTATAAATTTCAGAAACTGAATGAAATACATACCACGCAGTACCTTTACATTTATAAATTGACTAAATACCAGTTAAAATATCAATTATCATTGTTAGTTCAAGCAAATGGTGATTAAAACTTAGTGACCAATTTTAAACAAAATAGGTTTAAGGTTCTAGTTTAGCCTTGTTAAATAAACTGTCATGTGAGATTTTAGTCTCAGATGTTTATCTTTCTTTACCTTTTAGTTGCTCTTCCCAGACCGCATCCCTGTTACTGAAAACTTTATTTTTCATAAATTTAAAGTCTCATTCATGCCACCACTCGATACCCCCCCACACACACCTTTTTTTTTCCCCTCCAACACTTATCTCTCCACTGCTCGCTTAGAACCTGAGAATGTTTTATCCCATATTCTTCAAATTAATTTCAAATACGTTTTCCTTTTGCCCCCAATTAGAAATTTGTTAACAATCCTAAATTTTTTTGAGTTCAAATTGTCAGAACCACACGGGTTCGTGTCACATTGAGTGGCTTGACGGTTTCGTTTGAATGCCACACTGAGTGGCTTGTTGGTTCCCCTTGTTCGGTTCGACAACATGCCTCTGGCTGTCCGATGGGTCTCCTAACAATGCCATTGGCTGGTTTCTGTGAGTAACAATTTTTCGGTTCGCACTGATTGGTCGAGTTCGATTACCGTGATGCTCTTGAGCAAAAACATGGTCAGTACTTTCCATATGACACCATCAACAGTTGTGCCTGCTGAAAGTGTTGGTTTTGCTGATGATCCACCCTGATGTCCTTGTAAGACCAACCTTGTACTGCACTGCAAGCTGAGTGGCATGGCCAGGTAACTGACCAAGGTAAACACAATATATTTATTCAGCTTTGATAACTGGCCTGTTGAAGTTGATTATAATAATTGTGTATTAAAAGAAAAAAAATCGTGCTCACAATTCAGTCTGTTCTGTTGCATGTCATTTTATGAAAAACAATTAAATCTGATTACATTTTAATTATGTAAAATTTCTTGTCGCATCTCATTTTTCAGCAAAAAGTAATTTTGAATTTTTTTTTTTCCATGGAGTCTATTGTGAAAAGATTTTTGTATAATTTTAAAAGATTTTTAATATTGTAAAATGTTCAGTAACAAATTTACTCTAATTTCATGTAACATTTATTACTGCTTTTTAAATATTTGGCTTTTTACTATTTTTTTCTTTTTTTCCTTTTTACTTTGAGAATTCAAAAGCTGAACTTTGAAGTTTCTCTATTGCATAATGACTATCAAAGCCAATAAAAAATTACAAATATCACAAGTAATAAGGCTACAAAAGGTTGACGTGTCATTAAACTTAATGCTCATGAATTTGAAATTAACCTGCTTCACTAGTCCTCTGTATATGCTAAATTCTTTTCTCACTAGCAAAAAATCATTTAGGAATTACAGCAGAGAATAATCATTGAATTCATTTCTTTTAAATAAAAAGCTTTGATCATTAGGTTTAAATTTAAAGCTTTAATTTAAAACACCTATAAGACTCACAACAAAACTAAAGTTAATAAATTTGCTTTTTTTTTTTTTTTATATATATATAGCTTAGAATTTTCTCTATTCAACTGTTAATATAAAAAGGGAAACCTGGTTTGCTTAGGATATTTTAAAGAAAATAGCTTCTAATTAGCATAGCTGATAAGTGTAGCCATTGTTTTATGCTAACTTTGCAACATTATTAATGTAGCCAATTTTATTCACTCTTAACCCATATTTATTGAATATTCCTATCTAACTTTCTACAGGTTACAAAAAAAGCTCCCAAGCCTGTTAAACCAGCTGAATCTGATGAGGAATCTTCATCAGAATCAGAAGAAGAAATGCAAGTTGTAAGTATTTTTTTAGTACAGTGTTTGTCAGATTGCCCCCCCCCCCTCCTTACTAGATTAGACTTAATAAAAGGTGGCTGGTATATGTATATGACTTGTTCTTATGGTCTATAATGAACAAAAACTTAGGTCCTAAATATATTCACATGGCTTTTTGTGTGTGTGGTCTTTCAAGTAATTTGTGATCTGTTAAGCATGCTTTCAGGTAATAAGTGTGCAAGCATCTGTTGAGGTGCAAATAGGTGCAGCTAGCTTTTGAACATCTGCAAACTATAGTGTATGGTTATGACATTGACAAAAAGTTGTCTTGGTCATCTTATCTTTTGAGATATATAATATGCCATTTGACCTGAGATTCCAGAGTTGGTTTTGAGAACAGTATAATTTCAATGCTGGTTTCTCAGATTCATTTTCTTGTCCATTGCTGTATATATTGTCTGCCAGAAGCTGAAGTGTTGCTCATATATACCTTTATGATTGTATTAATGTTTAAGTGACTCGACAAGCCAGTTCCCATGCAAGGTGACCTAAAGCTTCAAATGCAATGTTTCATCAATGTTCATATGTTGCTTGCCTGTTGAAATGTCTTACTCATTAACACTTAAAATATTAAGTTAATTATTCTTTTTGTATGCCTATTGGCATTCCATTTACTTTCATGGGATTCTAAAGAGATAAATGAGTTTTTGGGTTTGGGGTTTTTTTTGTGTTAAATATTTGTTCCTTTTAACCCTAACAGGAAACTACTGCACCTAAAAAGGATAAGAAACAACCTGCTAATAAAGTTGCTGCTAAAAGAAAGAAGGAGGAATCCTCTTCTGAAAGTGATGACTCTGAATCTGAGGGTAAGTTAAATGTATCTGAGCTGTCTGACCTTTCATATTTGAGGATTTCATTCATTATCAAACATCTTATATGCTTTATGATGAAACACACACACACACACACACACACTATACACATAATATACACACACCTTTTTAGACATCTGTTTGGTATTGGAGAAATTGGACTGTCACATTTTTCCCTTCCTCTGACATCTTACCAGTGGTTGCTCCATATCAGTTTCATGTTTGGCTGGATAAAAATAAATAAATTAAAAAAAAAAAAAAAATCTTCAATAATTTTTAATTTGTCTGTTCACGAAATATTTTGTAAATTGCATAGTTTTATGCAAATGTACTCAGATCTAAATGTAACTTTGGTGTGGTTTTTTTTTTCTTTCTTTGCTTTCTATTCAACTGAGCTAGCAAAAGACCATGACACTAGTGCAGCCACTTAGAATTTTAAATTGCTATATATATATATATATGCTAATTCTGTTTTTGTTTTTTTTTTAAACAGAAGCCGCTCCACCAAAAAAAGTAAAGACTGCAGCCAAAGGTAAACTCATCAATATTAAAATAATGTAAATGATTATCGCTGTATAGTAGATATGCTGGTAAAAATAGCTGATTTATGATCAGGCATTTATAAGATTTGTTCAGAATTATAGTTAATCCTATAAATATCCTTTCTGTTTTTAGATAGAAGAAATTTAAATAATCTGAGAATATAAGGCTGGATAGTTTTTCTTTTTCTGTTCAAAGATTATTCGTTCTGCCAATTTTTTTAAATAGTAAAATAACTACACTTGAATGGATATAGAATATTAAAGCTATTTCGTTTTTACAGCAGCTACCAAGCAAGCTAAGCAAGAATCGTCAGAGGATACAAGTAGTAGCAGCGAAGAGGAATCTCCTGCTCCCAAAAAAGTCTCTAAAAAGCCCTTGTCAACCAAAGGTGAATGTCTTCAGTAATATGTATATCTTATAAACTTCCATCAGACAAGACGGATTATTGAAGGAAGTTTTATACAAAGCATGTTCCTCCTGATTGTTCTATTACAGCTAATGGGTTTATTATCCTTCACGGTAGTACTGCATAGTTAATTATATCATAGTTCAATATTTTTAATGTCAGACTGAATTGAAAAAATATTCATGTGACTTGTGAAAAATAACTTGTCAGAATTATTCAAAGGGAGGTTATTGATGTTTTGTAAATTTATAACTTGAATGTGTCTTAATATTGTTCCCAAATCCAAATTAAGAGCAATTGAAATTGGAGATGGAATTGTTTTCAATCACTGAATAGTGCTTCACCACTTAATTTTGCTGTAATCTTGTTTTGCATGGCCGATAATTGTGTTATGCCACAGTAAGTTTTTCTCAAACTTTGAAAAAATTTATAAAGACTGTCCTTGCAGGATTTCTTGCATTTTGATGCACCCACTCCTGCTCTGTTTGTGCAAACCAGAAAAAAAAAAGTTTGATTTGGTTTAAAACATTGCAGTAATAGCAACAAAAAAATGATATTTGGATAATATCTGCTGTCAGTGTTTTGCAACTGACACTTGGTTTTGGGATGTGTAACAGTAGAATAGACACTCAGTGTAGTAATACTAAATATGGTATACTCATGCATCTGTAACTATAAATTGAAAGGAGGAATTTCTTTTTCATTTTTTTTTAATGTAGTTCATTTCTCCTTAGCAGCTCCCAAGAAAAAAGAAGATAGTGATAGTAGCAGCAGTGAAGAGGAGGAAGCAGCTCCTAAGAAAAAAGCTAGTGCAAAGCCATCTAAAGGTAAGTTGTAAAAGCTTCCTTAAAACCCTCTCTGAAAAAAAATACTAAAATAGTCATAACAAAGGCATAACTTTGAGTAAAAATCAAAATGAAAAAAAAAAACTGACCTGCAAGTGTGGGCTGAATTTGTATTTTGTTGCTCTGACTGAGCACCTCTGAGCAGGCCATTAGGAAAGTTTTGATCATCACTAGATACTTTTGGCTAAGCTTAGATATGGTTTGCAAATTCATTTTTATTTGTAGACACTTTAACATTCAAATCTCATTCACAGATCCTGGTTTCATCTTTAAAAAAAAAAAATATTCTTGAATCACTGATTCACTGCTAAAATAAAGAGGCTTGATGTGAGATTGTCATTTTATTTGAGATTCTAAATTGAAATTATTTCTATTAACAGCTCCCAAGAAAAAAGACAGTGATAGTGATAGTAGCAGTGAAGAGGAGGAGGAAGCGGCTCCTAAAAAAAAAACTAGTGCAAAGCCAACTAAAGGTAACTTATAATAATTTTTTTCATAAATGAAAAATTAGAACTGATACTGAAATAAAATAGCATATAATTATTGATAAATCTGATTGCAAAGCCAGCAGTAAGCAAAGTGTGGATGAATTAAAATTCTTAGCTGATTACTGAATATATCTAGACATGCCACTACAGAAAGAAATTCATCTATTTAAAACTTAATTCTGTAAGTTTAAATGGGTTTACTCTAAATACATTGCAAGGAAAACCAACATGGATAAATCAAGGTTATAGTATTAATGTGTAAAAACCACCAGCTGGTCTCAAAGGACTGGCAGCTATATTGCATTAGTTGGTAAGAAATTGCAATTGACTTTTTTATTTTTATTAAAGCTGCTCCTAAGAAAGATGAAGAGAGTGATGATAGCAGTGAAGAGGAGGAAGCACCTCCTGCTAAAGCTGCAAAGAAAGAAAGTGCAACAGTTAAACCAGCCAAAGGTAAGCTACACTGTGCTAATAGTTCTATCAGGAATAGTGAAATATAAGAGTCAGGACACAAATCTACTGTAGATGACCTTGCAATTAAGACACTTGAGGCATATTTGTTGTAGTGAATTGTTTTATCCTTTGATCAGAAGTGTTTTTTAGAAATTCCCAGCATCCCTTGTGTGTGCACATGTGTAATCGTGCCAACATAAATTAAGTATAACATCGTCTCAAAGGGTGATATGCATCACAAAGCTTTTCCCACTTTGCCTCACCCCATATTGGGAAAGTGTATGACAAAGAAGCACGTTTATTAATAATTCACATTAATTTTAGCTTCAAAAATTTTTGACCTCCAATGTGTTTGTATTGATTTGCCATTTGATAATCAAGTGTTGGGGAAACAAAATCCCTTGTGATGTCTTTTATTTGATGCATTTCTGAAAAGTGCTCTTGGTTGTTAGCCTCCACTTTTTCTTGCATTGCTGCCAATTTGGGCAACTTCCACACGGATAGCTTCCTTCAAATCATCCCATATATGATTTATGCTCATACACCTTGATGTTTCCCCACAAAGAATAATCATACATGGACAAATTGGGGATGAGGTGTTCACTGGAGGACAAAGTACATCCATAAATGGTCTGGCTGTTGCCCCATCCTGCTGAAACCACAGAACAAATAGGAATGTTTTCATTGTAATTCAGACACAGAAGTTGTTTTTCTTAATGTAATACTTGGGGGTTCACAGTAACAGCACTTGATCTTTGAAAAAGGACCACTGATGCCAGTGTTTCCAGTTTTTTGTGAAGTTCTCTCAGTTTTTCAAGAGTCCAATAATGACAATTCTATTGATTCACTATGCCATTGAGATGAAAATAGGCTTCACTCATTAACAAGATGAGGTTGTCATTTGCCTCAAAAATCGCTTCCATCTGACATAAGAAGTTAAGATGCTGCTCATAGTGCCCTTGTCTCAACTGCTGCCCAATGACTAATTTCTAGGAGTGGAAATGCAGTTCTTCATGCAAAATATGCCTTATCAAACAATTATTGATCCAAAGTTCAGTAGAATGCCTCTGAGTGGAGCAATTCTGACTGCTGCAAAGCTTGTCTGACTCATTCCACGTTTTCTGTGGTACGTGCTATTTGTAGCACACCCACCAGTCTGCTATTCATTAGTTTACCTAATGTACAAAGTACATTAATCCAATGTAAGATTATTATGAGTGAAAATAGACTGATTTCTGTGAAAACTGAAGGGTGGGGGTGCTAAGACACTTTCTCCTGAATGGTAGGACATATGTTCCTCCCTTTGGGGCTGAGTAATAGCCACTTCAAAAATGTCTGTCCACTCTGCCTCACCCTGTACTTATTCAGTCCATGGTGTTTTTTTTTCTTTTTAATTCAGTCGAAGCGATGGCACTGTGGATGATAGAGCACCACATGTTTGCCTACGACAGTTTCATAAAAAATAACTAATCTGTTGCCAGTTCAGCATGAATTTCACCATTCACAGAAATTTGGCTGTTCCCATTCATAATAATCTTATGTTGGATTCATGCACTTCGTACACAAGGTACACTAATGAATAGCAGGCTTATGAATGGTAGGTACCCCCAGAAAATGTGGAAAGCATCAAACGAGCCATGCTGCATAGTCCAAATCGTTCTGCTCAGGTGGGCATGCTACTGAGCTTGGGGTCGATAATCGTTCAGCGATACGTATTTTACATGAACTGCCTTTTCACCCCTAGCACGTTGGAAAACAGTTAAGAATGCTTTCAGAAGTGCATCAATGGAAATTGAGAGGACAATTGATATTGCTTTTCCATACTTGGTTTTGTCAAATGCTAATTCAAACATTAATATCAAAAAATTCACACACACGCTTTGTCTATGAAACTAGTAGAATCAAATTGTCAGAAAGTGAGGGAAACTTGGTATCATTAAAATGCTGAAGAGGCATTTGCATTCCAAGCTTTAATTCAATATTCCTTATTGAATCTCCAGAGCAAAAATACTTCAGAAAACCAAAATTCATAATTTACAGCACAAACGTGTCATTGCTTGTGAGGTATGGTTCTAACTGGCTATTGATTTCTTTCCCTTCTCTAATTAGCATCAAAGAAAGTAAAGGCAGAGGAGAGTAGTGAAGAAGACAGCAGTGAAGATGAAGCTGCACCTGCCAAGAAAAAAAAAACTGAGACACCAACAAAAGGTAATTTTACAAACATTTTTTTCCTTAAAGAATTAACCATTAGCACTTGACATCATTTATAAATATCACTTCCCCTTTTACTGTATATGGAAGCCCCTAAAATATAGTTTTATATATTAGTGCTATATATTTGAAAATTGCAGTAACCTCACTCTCAATTTCATTCTAGAATTTTTTTGATGTTGCTATAGAACAATATTATTATGCAACCAAGAAATTCAAATTGCATTTGGAGGACTTTGACGAAAAGTCATCTACAGTATTGCAGAGTGCTAACTAGTGGCTGTCAATAGTGTCACGTTTGCCTCATTAATTGTAAGCAACCTGTTCAGATTTGACTATACAATGATCATGATTTTTTTTTTTTTTTTTTTTTTCCCTTCAAGTAGGATGAGGCAACATTAGCAATACTTTACTAGCATAGGTTATCACCCTTTTTCTAACACCTATTGATAGGTTTGACTATGCTGAGATTATAATAGTAAATATACACCTAAGTATATATGGTGTTAGAAAGTGTAAATATGAGAGTATATCACTAAACTCAATTCTCTTGGCCAATTGCTTCTCTTGAAGTGTGTCAAGGATATCAAGCAAGAATTAACCATAAATATAGCTATACCTTAAAATTTCCCAAGAAATGTTACAAATAACTTTAGTTTTATGCTGTACAGTAATAAGTGGCTGAGACTAGTAGCATAACCTCATAAGCTAGTAAATATAGAGGTAGTTAAAATACTAAATTATACTTTACAAAGTACAAGGCAGTAAGTATTGATGACTTCTATAGTCAAATGAAGGGTTGCTGGCAAGCTTACTAAACTAATCTTGTCTAAAATTTTAAATATTTAGTTATTTGTATTAAACTTTCTCAATTTTTCAGCTGCTGCCATCAAAGAAAGTAGCAGTAGTAGTGAAGATAGCAGTGAAGAAGAGGAAAAGAAACCAGAACCTAAAGCTGCTGCTGCAGCCAAGAAAGAAAGTGAAAGTTCAAGTGATGAAGGTAATGTATTCAGTAAATTTTATTAGTGTATTAGGCTTAAATTTATTTAACTTCTCTTTGTTACTACAGAGAAATAACAATTAGTTGGGTACAAAGAAAAAACCTTTAAACCTTAGTGTTGTCTCTGGTGCAATGTGGACACACCATTAAATTGGATGCTTCAATTGAAAGCCCACTGCAAATTGATTTGCTATCTTCTCTTCAGTATAGCTGCTTGTATCTGAGTGCCCATATGTTTGATCCTATTTAGTTTCCATCATGCAAATGTAATATTTTAGCAATCTTGTTTACAATGTTCAGTGGTAGCTCTAAATGTTTAGCTAGCATATCAAACTATTTTTGTTCTGACAATACATTGTTTACTTCCCGCTGGAAGCCTTTTGTTGCTTAAGCAGCTTGAGATGTCTAGCTTCTGAAAAATCCTTACTATGCAACCTGTGAAATTTATGGTTTATGAAATACTTCATATAATCAGATCACTCCATCAATCCATTGAATATGGAGATGAAAAGATAAAACTATTACTTCTGAAGTTTACTTAGTGATTCTATAAAATGGCTTTCTCGTTTTTACTAAATGCTGGTTAATAAGCATCCACTTCCTGAATTTCTTGTCTTTTATATCGGGTCTGTTGGCTTTTTCTTGTTGGTTATAGGCATGTCCCAGAGGATAGTTACACCGTTATTCTGTTTAACTGTCTGATTGGTGCTCATACCATCTAAGTGGCTTCAATTTTCTGCTTCTTGCATATCTTCCCATGCACATGTCGCTACACGCGCGCGCACACAGGATTTTTTTTTTTTTTTTCTTAAGATTATGGCCAGTATTTGATTTATTTTAATATTTTGTCACAGTTAAGCTCAAATATGGGATGATACAATAAGGGAATTTTTGACTAAAATCATGAGTATATTTAATCATTAACTTAAGAATTAAGGTTTACCAGAATATTCGAATAGGAACATAGTTAAAACTAGTAATTGTAAATAATTGGAACTAATTACAATTTCTTGTTAGATGATTCATACCTAATTGTATTACTGTCCTCCTTTTCACAGATGAGGATGAAGAAAAAGGTTCCAAGGCCAAATTGAATGGTAGCACTGCAAAGAAAGCAGAAGGTGAGTAGTGAAAGTGTATGAACTAAGTTTATTGATTTTAATGTTAATGTAATGCTTTAATATCCAATAAAGGGACCTGTTTCTTCAGTCCTATAAAAAAAAAAGTTTTTCAATTTACAAATTTATTTCCTAATGAACTACTGGGGGAGGGGTGGGGGTGTCAATCAAGAATCAATTTAGGTTTTCATGCCTTGTTACATTGTAAATTTTAATTTCTTTTTCTAACAGAAACTGTAACTGTCTTGTGCCGCAATGTTCCTGTGGATGCTACCGTTTCTAAACTGGAGAAATTCTTCAATAAAAAGGGTGTTGAGTGCATTGAAATCCGTAAGCGTGATAATAAAATGTGAGTTTATATTTTTATTTGGGGATATGTTCTATGGGACCATGACCTTGTGAGTTGGTGCTTGATTTTAAAAAAAAAAAAAAAAAAAATCTCTGAAATAGATCATATTTGAAATTAAGAAAATAATGGTAACATTTTGACTCTTTGATTATCTTTCTTTTTTTTTTTTTTTTTTTTTTTTTTTTTTCCTCCAGGTTTGCTCATGTTGATCTGAAAAATCCGGCTGATTTAGATAAAGTCCTGGGAATGAATGGAGTAGAATTTAAGGGATCTGAACTTACATTTGAGAAAGCCTTACCATTTGGTACACCAAAGACTCCCAGAAATGGTTTGTTTTAACCAAATTCAATTATCTATTTCCTCCATTTTTTGATATACCAAGTCTAACTGCAAATTTGTTCAATTGTTAGAGATTTGAACTGTTGTATCTTAGAAATGAGTAAAGATATCTTGCTGGTTTCTATAACACTATTGGATTCTACTTTGAGCAATAAAAATGTATAATTACTCAGAGAAGAACAGGAGAAATAATACACTTCACCCTCTTCTGTCCTGGAGTAACAAGGTGCATCAGGTTTCGCATAAGACTTAGTTTTAAAGTCACTGCTCTTTGGACTATTATATCTGAAACTCCTCACATGCTGAATGTCTTATGGATTGAGTTGGATCTTTTCTAATTGATCTCTTTAGCTTGAAGTTGAAATGATGGTTCCTCTTCCTGTTGTGGTCTGTTTTCCTATGCTGTCCCTCTGCCCTCCTTATATATAAAACTTATTCACTCTCTTGGATGGTATTTGAAGATGGAAGCCATAGTATTACTGAAGGCCTGAATGATCTCTTTCCTTTCAACATTGCTCAGTTGTGAGAAGACAGTGGAGCTGACACAACTATTTTAACTTGTTCTCTTTCTATCTGAATAACTGGTGTCAAGATGGCTAAATGTCGCATCTGAACACCTGGAAAAATGAAACTGTTTTTTTGTTATAGATATTAATTGTGAGATGGACAATTATGCTGTAACATTTTACTGTTGCACCTCTGTGTGTGTGTGTGTGTGAGAGAGAGAGAAAGAGTCCCCTCCCCACTTCACTGGGCCAAGAATGTGCATATTTTTCTTTTCTCCAGCATCTGCAGGGAATGCTGACGACAATGCTGTGATGTTTGTGAAAAACCTCCCAAATGCAGCAACTGAAGATGACATCCGGCAAAGGCTAACAGAAATGTTTTCTGGTGTAGAGTCTGTGAGAATTCCTATGAAAGGAGATATGCATAAAGGGTAAAGTAATTTTAAATGTTAAATGAAAGTGTGCTTAATTACGATTAACACTTGAATTATTTAGTATTGTAAGCTTTTCTTTCAAAGATTGGTTACTGGCATAAACGTTGCCAACCATAGTAACAATGTGAAGAATTTTAGTTTTTAGTAATGCTCCAATTTCATTACATTAGTTTAATTCCATTTTTATATATAAAAATATAAAAAAGTATGCTTTCAGAAAAAATTAACCTGCTTTTTGAGTTAATCAGGTTTTTTTTTCTTACAGATTTGCTTATGTTCAGTTTAGTGATACTTCAGCTGTGAAAGAGACCATTGAAAACCACCAGGGAATTGACTATGATGGCCGTCCTCTTTACCTTGACTATAGTGGTGGAGGCCCAACACCTCAGAAGAGAGGGCCCAGAAATAGTTTTGGTGGAGGTGGTAAGTTGACTTACGTGCTAATTTCTTTCTAGAATTGTTCCCCTGCTGCTACTTTTTTTTTTTTTTTTTTTTTTTTTTTTTGTGCAAAAATATGAAAATCTACCGTTTTAAAATTGTTATAGCTTTGTATTGTGTGTATAGATTTTAATTAATTTTTGTACATTAAAATAAAACAATGGGTAATATTTTGATGTAATCCATTATGCCTTGAAAGCATGGTGTTGAAAACGAGAAAATTGAAACTTTTATTACTCTTGTAGAGTTCTGGTGGTGTAATAACAAGCAAAATTGCTAAAAAAAAAAAAAAAAAAAGCTTTCATTTCATCAAAAAAGTGATGTTTCCTCACTTACATACGAGGAGACACTAGCATTTGTTTTGTTTTTTTTTTTGTTTTTTTTTTCTTTCACTCATGATTGTCTCGTTGACAAATAGTTATTTTGTCAGCTGTAAATGGACAAAATATTTCACCTTCAGAAAGACCGTCGGATAATATTGATGGTCATCAGTAGCTGCCATAAAATTACTTGGGTATAGATATTAGCAATCATCGCTTTCCTTCAAATCACTAGCCGACCACTTCACTGTCAATATCCACTGAATAAAGGCTTTGTTGGATATTGATGTGACCATTTTTGTTTACCAAAAATAAAAAAATAACATGGCTGTTACACCTCATGCGGTCTAGAACTCAAAATGGCATTGGGAAACAGAAGTTTAGCCTTGTTCCAAAGCCAGCTTAAAATACTGGAAATAAGTTGACAAGTGTTTATTTATGGCAACCATCTTGTGCAACAGAAGTCGCTGATAGTAGTAAGGGAGAGAATTCTGTGCAACTATTGTTGCCTGGTAAAAGTTAAAATTTATTTTTAATTATATCACTGCCGCTAATTTAATTGGTCAATTATAACCTCAAAGGCCGGACTTGAAAATAAAGAAAATACAAATATGGCTGAATTCACTCGCTGTAGTATACTTTTACTAAATTTACTTTTCTAAACAGTTTGTATTTATTTTACAGAATATCCCCACCACTGCCACAATATACATCAATTTCATCTGTTTGCTTGAATAACTTTAAGATAATTCAGTTCTTCATTCATACAGTGAATTTTAATTTTACCAAGATGTTTTTATAGTATTGTCTTCAAATTTGAAGACAGTGTATTTCCCTGTTAGGTGAGGTAGATATTTTAATCAGATATTTAAAATTTTCTTTTAAAGATGCTGGTGAAAAGGGTAACATTTTGTTTGTAAGGAATCTATCCTATGATTCCACAGAAGACAGTCTAAAAGATGTTTTCACAGAGGCTACAGAAGTTAGATTGCCAAGACAACAAGACAGTGGAAGACCCAAAGGGTAAGTTTTTTTTTTTTTCATTTTAAAGCTTATCTAAGTTACTTAAATTGTTTTAATAAAAAATAAAAATTTTGGAAAATGGGTGACCTATTTCTGTTCATCTGATGCAGGGTGTCACCAAACTTTCAGAGAAGGTCAGATATGAATAGTCGCTAAATATACAAAAAATAAAGGTGACATTAGTAATAAAACAGTTATGTCACACCCTGGGTGCACGTATTTGAATCTCACAAACTAAGCAAAAACGGTTAGTGAACTTTATGAAACTGGCTTATAACAATATTTGTTTTTGAATTGTTGCATCTGACCAAGAGAATTGCTTTCAAATTTCATCTGTCAACTTTGTTACGTGTGCTTACTTTACATTAGATTTTGAGTTCAGGCAAAATGACAATTTGCTGAAGTCAGTCCTTTTTATATACATAAGCTGCAAAAAGTTGCCAAATTTTTTTATTTCACTGATTTCCCTAAAACTTATATGCAAAAGTCAAGACTAGCTAAATTATGGCATTTTTGAATAAACTTGTGTAAAAAAATTAAAATAAATTTTAGCTACAATCTCTGGATGATTCCATATATTTTAGCTTATTTGTGATACAGTGTAGCAGCAGGCCTGTTCCGGGCCACAGGTCAGTTTCAGGTCGTTTTCAGACATGAGTGCTCATATCATCATTGGACATGCATCATTGGCATGCAGCAATAGTCTGACTGGTGTAAATAATCACCAGCAAATGAAAGTCCTGCTATATTTACATCAATTTTATGCCAGATCTCTTCATGGAATTTTTTAAACTGAATTGTCATGACGAGAAAATAGGATTACCTTAGCTAATGTTTTGTTTTTCTGTGTGTGTACACTAACCAATAATAACAGCAGAAAGTTCTCATTTATATTGATTCTTTTGTTTTCCAGATTCGCCTTCATAGAATTTGATTCTATTACAAAAGCTGAGGAAGCTTTTAATAACTTCAACCAAACAGAAGTTGATGGCAGACTAGTCTACATTTCTTATTCTAATTCTAACAAAGGTCGTGATGGAGGACGTGGTGGAGGTGGAAAATTTGGTAAGTCTTGTTTCACTTTGGAGGATTCTGTTGACAGTGGGTTCTAGTTTTTTTTTTTTTTTTTTTTTAGTTTTTTTTTTTAAGAAAAACATGAAAGGATTTTTTGTAAGGTTTGGTTAAAACTAAATTGTTTTTTATTTAATGCTTATCAAATGCAGATAAATTTAAATTTTTTTTAACCACACCATCTGTTTTATTAAATCTCACATGAGATTTAAAATTTCTTTAATGCTTTCCCTTTGTACAGGCCGTGGTGGCAGCTTTGGGCGCGGAGGTGGCGGTAGAGGCCGTGGTGGCAGCTTTGGGCGCGGACGTGGTGGTAACAGGGGGCGTGGTGGTTTTGCAATTGGAAGTGAGTAATCAAGTATGATATCTCTATCCTACTTTGTAAATGCCACAAACTGTGGAAATTGTTTTTCTACCTAAAGCCCTCTGAAACGCCAAATACAAAACCTTCAATCTAAAATCCCTGTAAACTCAAATCTCTTTGAAAGAGAAATATGCTTGGCATCATTTTTTAAAAAAAAAAAAAAATTCAACAAGCATTCCAACCAGTTCCAAAAAGAACTAAACAAGGACATAGTCTTTTAGATACTTTTTCAGTAAGAGCCAATAAATGTAACCCTCCACACTACCACAAAATCCTCACGGACAAAATAACACACACAAACTAGATACAATAGTAGGATATTGGAGATTGATACAGAGACTACTGAAATAGCCTATAAGTTAAATATTGCAGGTAGTGGGGAAAGATATTTACATTTTAGTTTATGGCCATAAACCTAACTTTGCTAATAGTACACAGTCTAGACTAATAAAGCCCAACTAAAGCTGAACTAGGTGTAATCTAAAGTATAATTAAAAAATCTACCAATAAACTGTTAAACATACTACCATATTAATGTTAGTTTTAACCACCCCAACGCCATTCTGAGACAAATACCCATTATCATTTACACCAGGACTAGTAAATTATCATCCAGTAAAAAGAATTTTTTATAAAAATAAAGAACCGTATGAAAAGGCTCTCCACAAAAGTGGCTTAAAAAATAAGCTGTCTTACTTAACCCCTATAGGTAGTACTGAAACATTGAAAGTGGGATGTAGGTGTAGAAAAATGACATTAATATTGGACAGCACTTTCTAAAATTTAATAAACACTTCCACAGGAAGTTGATCAAAATTATTTACTCCTGCACTAATAACATGTACCAAATTATCAACTCCCATAAATATATCTAGAGGAAAGGTCTGAATTTAACGTAGACCCCCCCCCCCTCCTCTTCCTCCGGGTAATTGTAGAGATAGAGAAAGCTGTCCAGTCAAAGGCAAATGCAGACTCTACTGGTGTAATATACCAAGCAACCATTACCCCCTGAAGAAAATGACAAATGTTTACATTGGAATTTCTGCAGGAGAATGGGCACTCCTTTAACAATCCTGAATTAAAACACCAAACAGCTCTTTGAAAGAAATTTTGGGAATTGAAGTAAAAGGGTCTGAACCCTCAGATTGGAAAATGATAGGTTTTGCAGATACTCTTTAATAATTTTAGAGATAGGTGCAAACTGTTTAAGGGGAATAAATTAGAACAATAAAATACAATAACCAATGCAAACTGCTGAATCAAAGGAGGGAACTAGTGTTAAAATTTAGACATACAAGTTCAAACTGGTATAAGAATATAAATCTTACCTTATTACTAACTCCCAAAAACCAAGAGTCCCCCCCCCCACTGATGCAACCTCTGTTGATTAAACTTTTACTTTAATATCTTCCTCTTAAAGAATTTCAGGTACAGCTTTAAATTCTTAATAATTTAAGCACACCTTAATGGTGTAGATGGCTGGGAAGTGGGGGTGTCTGAGATAGGTTTATATATAGGAGTAAGGTTTTCACTCAGGATGGGTAATAGAAACCCAGAATTTGAGGATCACATTAAACATCAATATTGCAAACATTTGTCATCACACCCCCCACCCCATCTATTATTGCCATTCTTTTTAACCAATCACCTCACCCACCCCCCCACATGTGTAGAGAATTAAAACTGTATTTTTACTCTTGCAGATTCCTCTGGAAAGAAAAAGACGTTTGATTCCGACAGTGATTGAAATTTTTGAAAGAACCAGACAGAACTCAGTAATTAACTCTAAAACCTACAATTTGATATCACCATTTTTTTTATTTTTTTTTCTTTAATTTGTAAATATTACATCATAAACACCTCAGATTTTTAGTTTTCATAAATCCAAGCTGAAGTGCATTTAAAAAAAAAAATTCATTTGCTGTTCTACAGTATTTTCTTAGCCATGGCCTGAGAAGTTATGGGCTGTAAAGGACTTTGAACTGTTACTGGGTCACCTGTCTATTGTACATAATCTGTAAAGGATCAATGCGTTTTGTAAATGTATTTTCACTGCTACTGGAAATAAAAAAATAAAAAAATAAAAAAAAAATCCTGTCTATTTTTCATTTTTATCTTATTTTAAAACCTTTTGCTGCAAGGATATCAACACTATCCCATTATAATAAATTGAAGCCAACATTGCCTAGATTTTACACTTTAATATAAATTAAGCTCTACAAAACCAAATATTTCCCATTTATCTGTTAAATTGGTTAGTCCACTTGTGTAAAGTGAACTAGGTGGGATGGATGTGACTGCAATTTTATAATAATCAAAAATAAAAAAAAAAAAAAAATTTTAAAGATTAAGAGCTAATAAAGGAGTGAATTTTAGTTGCCATTCAAGAATAGGTACTTAGTGTGGCAAAGAGTTGTCACAATGAGAGGTACTCGGAAGGAAACAGTTGTTGGCTGAAGGGAAGATTTCAGCCATCTCTGTCGAAAAATAAGACGGGAATAGGTATGGAGCTGTCCTAAGCAGGGCTGTGAAGTCAACACAAAACCTCTGACTCCTCTATTTTTGGCACCTCCAACTCTGTAATTGATTATATCCTACAAATTTCATAAAGCCTATGCACGCGCTCCTAACTTGAGTAGGCCTATATTGTTATAACTGGTTTATACCAAATAGATATTGTGGCTTTTATATCATACTTATTCAGTCTTCAATATTTTTTACAGATCTTTGAATGGATATACAAGAAATAACAATAAAAATGCTATAATGTATTTTGTACTTTTGGGCATGAACTAAATAGGGAAAGCCCTACAAAATCCATTTGATTCCTATCCACTAATATTACAAAAAACTTGGTGAGTGAAATTCGCCTTTGAATTTAGAATTTGAAGTTCCAACCATTCTTAATTCAAATATAGTATCCTTGTCTTGTCAAGGTGATGGGTTTCTCCCTCCACCTCCTGTTAACAGTTTAAAGTGGATTCCGTAATGGGTAGGGAGCAGGGATGATGGGAATCAAAATTCCTTCATGGTTTGTAATAAACCAGCCAAGTGTCTGGTTCAGAAAGTGAAGTGGAGAAACAGTAATTATCAAAATCTAGTTCTAGATGTAGAGGATGAAATACAACTATAAGCATTATCCTCTTTATCATACTTAATATTTGCTGATAACTTTTCTAAGAAATGGTAACATTCTTATTCGGGTAGATACAGGGGTATGCTGATATTTCTATTGGACAACCAACCCCAAATATCTGGAGTAGTAAGGAGCTGTAAGCTTTCCTTCTGCAATTTGGAAGAAAAAATGCTCAAGGAATAACTATAAAAAGAATATCTAAGTCTGTGCACACATCAGTTTAAGTGGACCTAAAATTCTATCTCTGACAACGTTGGAGCCATAGCCACCTATAGATCATTGTATCAATGAAATTTTCAATCTATACTTGTTCATTTATAAGGACGTTTATGAAAATATGTCTGCAGTTGTCTTTGACATAGAAAAGGCATATGGCATTGAGGTATCTACAAAAAAAACCCTAGACTACCAATTTCTAAATGAAAGACTTCACACTGAAAGAGATAAAGGAAGAGGAACTGGGAGTTCCCCAGGGAAGTATATTTTGTCACATTTAGCATAAATACTAGACTATTTGTAACCTGATGGTTCAGGTTATAAAACATTGATTTCAACATTAAAAAAATTGAAGAAAATTTAAATACATGCTGTATAAACAATTCCTATTTTTAAATCTTATTTACTGAAAATATTCCTTGTATAATATTATATTATAAATATTTTTGTCATTAAAAAATATTCATATTCACTTGAAATTATTTTTTAAATATGACAATTTTTTTTTTTTTTTTTTTTATTCAGTGGATTTGTAAATAATTACTCTACAAACAACTGGATGAAACAGCAAAATGGGATCTCTTGTATCATTATGTACCTGACGGATGATTTAGCATGTAATCAGACTTTTAATATTATGTAGATTGCTAAAAACACTGAAGCAGGTTGCCCCCCTTATTTTTTTTTTTTTTTTTTTTTTTGTAATAACTTTATTTTGTTGACACATAATGGAACAAACAAATGGAGAATGATTTTGAGTTTTCCAAGGAAAACAAAAATTTGTCAGCTATGAAAATTGCACAATAACCCTATTCTTAATTGATGTCCACAATATCCACTATAGATGAATACAAAAGAAACATGTAACAAAGCCTTACAACTGTTGAGAATGGTAATAGAGTATTACAGGGTTTGTACAGGTCCTGGAAAAACAGCAATAGACCAAAAACTTAGTCTTGGAATTTTCTAAATTGGGCTGCCCATACATCTCTCTTAATTCATGAAAGTCAAAATGCCAAATTCCAGAAATCTGGCTTATTTTACAAACTAAAATAGTCCTTTAAGAAATATTTTTTTTAGTTGTTAATTATTGTGGATGGTAATTCATGACCTCACAGTTACTTGTATTTTCTTGTCTGGGTGATGAGAAAGAAAGACTATAAAGGCTGGTCTACTAGTTGCCACCCTCACTCAACAAGAAAAGCAAAAACGGATATGTAAACATCTCCATCAAAGATAAATTTATTTACATTCATTGAATATGTAGTTGAAATTATTTTACAGTAATAAAATACATTTTAGTAGAATCTCAAAAAAATTCAGTGTTTTTTAAAATTTGTACAGATGAAGAAATTTTTATTCACATGTCAATTTCAAAAGTAAAAAGTCCCTTTGATCACTTGTCAGCAGTAGGTGAGTTCATGCTTAATAGAAACTTTACATGTTCCATGTCAATGTCTAAATTGTTGCCAAAAGTAACAAGTCTAAGAATCAAATTTGATTCAAAGAAAATGTAGATGGGAAGGATAATAGAAAATAAAAACATTATTTTGTAGGCTAATGTTGACCTGTATCTTTTAGCTTTTTTAGTGTGGAAAAAAAAAAAAAGAAATATTAAAACTTATTTGGCTTTTATTGCTCAGCTTTATATTAAAAGTTCAGTCTGGCAACCCTGTCCCTTTACTTTTGTATTTCTGCCAGAGATGGCTAGTTGGCCAGATGTCATCAAATTTGTGAACTTAAAAACAAAAATATCTTGAAACCAAGTCCTTTGCAGTGCAGTTTAATGTGAATGATGTCTTATTTCCAGTGAAACTGCAGATTGTGTTTTGAAAGATAAAATATCAGAGGAATAAATCATTGTTTCCTTTCCTTGCAGATGATCTTTTTAGCATGATCACGAAACTTAAGATTTGTAAAGAAAGAGCACACTGGAAATGAATGAATTTGTAAGAATTTTAAGCCCCAAAATAGTGTGGATTTCTACAAAATTTATCCAAAACAGGAAAGAAATGTCAATAAAAGGTCTATTTGTCTTTGTTACAATCAAAGACACCATCATTGAGAATCTTCTAGTAAAGTCACCCCTAGATACCCTCTTGTAAGGTCACTTGCATGGCTGAACCTTGGATCCATGTGTGGAAAAAAAAATGTGGAAAAGGTGTCTTTCCCACATGATGGACAGAAAACAAGCCAGCAAATCTGATTGTGATAACATCAGTCAGTACAGAGTTCAAGGAGAAGGCTGCTGGAAATATTGCTTTCAAGAATGAAGACCGTCTGAACCCTTTGTCTAGCAACAAAGAATATCAAAAATTGTGGAAAGTTGTTTGCAGATTGCTGGTACTCTCTCATGGACAGGCCTCAGTGGAGTGGTTTCACAGACAATATAAAACAGCAAACTCTGGTGACACAGCATTATCACAATTTAGCCACAGTTGTAGATGCTGCAGTGCTTCAAATGCCAGAACAGCATACAATCAATACTTTGAGACAGAAGGGGGAAAGCAGCAGCTGTACAAAAACAGAAATCCATGCTTATGGAAATTGGAAGAACTGAAAACCAAAAAAAAACAAGCTTGAAAGTTGTACAAAAGATTTGTTCAACTGACAGCCATACAGATAAAACTGAGCAGCAAAGATCTGCAAAGGACAAAATCATAGAGATATCTTAATTGGAAGAACTGAATGCTAAAATGAACAGAAAAAAAAAAAGGTAACATCGTGTTTTGTGCCATGTGTAACAAAATCCATCAGTAGTAGGGGTAGCTAAAATGTGTAGTCTTTTTGCAAAGATTTCTATTTGTAGTTCTGTTGATATTAAAACCATTATACAGGAAATGTGCAGCAGTGAAAAATTTTTGTACCATGAGTAGTCATGATAGCTGAAATGTGTAACAGTAAGAATTAAGCATGTAATTCCAAATTTTTAAGTTTAGTAGAATGTTACACAAAATGTGGAACATAACCAGTTCTGCATTCAGTTGTTTTAGCCTTCAACACCGATTTCTTCACTGCTTTCAACTAATCCATGTGACATGAATTATTAGAACCAACTGTAGCTTTTCTTTGAACATCTCGTCAAACTATTCAAGATAAATCACAAAGTTGGTGTTTTTGAAATTGATGACTATTTACTGTGTGTGTTTTTCCTTGAAACTTAACAGTCCTGGAAAAGTCTTATATTTTAACAGACCTGTGGGAATTCTGTTGTTAATAATATCAAAGCTCAACTATGGAACAGCTAGAAAAACATACCTCAAAAACACTAAATATTATCCATCACCTAGGCCTGAGATTGGCACTTGTGTTCTATAGTAGCACACCAGTGAAAAGTCTATATACAGAATCATATGAAATGCCCCTGTAGCTGATAAGACAAAAACAGGGTCTCCAGTACTATCTTAAACTCACTTCCTATCTCTCAAACTCTATACATAAGTGTACTTTATACTCAAGATCAAAGGGGAAAGTTATAAAACCAATGAACTTATGAATAAAGGAAATCCTTTCAAATCATACACAATTCTATTACTTCAGAAATACCACTATTGCTAATTGAATAACCAAAAATAATATTAGACCTATCTAGACATCCCCAAAACACAACCAATTATATATCACAATTGAATGTTTGATTTAATAAAGACATCTGAATCACATTCAAATTTATACAGCTGGATAAAGAAATAAAAAAAGTTGGATATGCTGCCATACTTGACAATAAAAGAAATCACAAAATGATTACCTAATAATTCCTTGATAATCACAGCCATTAACTTAGCTCTTGACCTAATAAGAGACAGTAAAAATACAACAATTGATTATTTTCTCCAATTCTTTCTCAGCATGTATGGCAATAAAATAACTACAAATCCAATCACCACAAAAGCACTAAATAAAATCCAATACATGAAAAAGAAGAAAAAAAAAAGCATATCATGTTAGATACCTGGCCATACTTACGTTCATGGTAATGAGAATGCTGACAAAGCAAGAAAGGCATTAAAGAACTCATCAGACACGAAAACATTGCATACTAATCTCAGAACAATTATCAGAAAATTCATCATGGACATATGGCAAAAAGAATGGAACAAACAATAATAATAAACTCTATAGAATCCAACCAGACATCAAAGAATGGCAAACTGGATATAGAAAAGAGGAATCAGTACTAGCTCGACACTGACTTTGCCACACTTATTACCCACAACTACATACTAAAAAAGGAAGATCCACCTATGTGCTATACATGTGATGAACAATATACAGTGAAACACATACTTGTAAAATGTGTAGATTTAAGTCTGGTTTGTGAAAAGTATTATCAGGCAAACAACTCTTCAGGATTGAGCCAAATAAAATAATTAAATTTCTTAAGGAAACCAAGATATATTCAGAAATTTAAGCAATAAGTATAAAATAATCTCCAACTGAACTTTATACCAAAATCATTAACTTTAAATGAACTCCTTTACATAAGCTATTGCTTTCAGCTGAATGATATTAAAATATTATTCACAACTTAAATTTAATATGCAAACTATGATGCCAATCAAATCTTAATTGGCATGAAATGACCTAATGAAGGTTGATATGCCTTTAAACCAAACAATCAATCAAAAATCCTACCACTATTAAATATCTTTAAACTCTTCACTTTCTGTAAATGTCTGAAGTCTCATTTAAAAATACTGCTTTTTGTTGTTGCCATGGAAAGATGAACAAAAAATGCAATAGTTGTAAACAAAATTCCAAATGCACTTGTGCCTATTGTAGGCATGTTTAACCTTTAAAGAAAAAAAATGCTAGACTGCATCATCACTGCACTATTATGTACATTTTTACTTTTTTTAACATATTTATACAATGAGAAAAGCAAGATGTTTTTTCTAAATCTTTATTGAAGCAGTTTTTTTTATATTAGATCAACACATGGACCAGCAATTTGTCACATTAGTCGTGTGTGTGTGTATATATATATAATACATAAAATGTTAATAGAGTTAAAACAGTAGTATTAAAAAGTGCTCAATACACGTGTAAAAAAAAAAAAAAAAAAAAAAAATGTAGAGATTTCAACTTTAAAAATTAAATCAGTTGAATCCATTACTTTGGATTCAATCTTACAGTATCCTCAGGCAATTTTTATCAATTGACCTCCCAACACTTTATTTAAAAAAAAAAAAAACTAAAGAATGCTATATTATTTAAAAAATTGGGTGTGATAGAAAGGGAGGAGGAAGATGTGAAAAAGGAAGGAAGAAGAAGAAAAAGACGGGGGGGGGGAGAGAAAAGCCAGGGTTTTATAAAGGTACTGTTGTGTGTGTGTGGGGGGGGATAACTGAAATGTACTTTTTTTTTTTTTTAAATCCAGACTCATATGTGCTTAAGAGGAATTTTTTAGTATGTATGAGGCTGAATTTAAAGTTTAAAAAAAAAAAAGTACATTTCAATTACCACCCCCCACACACACACACACACACACACAATACATTTATAATATCCTGGCTTTTCTTCTCTCCCCCTTCTTTTTTCACATCCTCCTACTCCCTTTCTATTGCAACCAACGTTGTTTTTTTTTTTTAAATATAGTATTCATAATATTTTAAAAAATAAAGCATTGGGAGGTCAACTGATAAAAATTGTGTGAAGATACTGTAAGGTTGAAACCAAGGTAGCAGATTCAACTGATCTAATTTTTAAAGTTATATAGAACAATTTTTATTTAAGAAGAAAAAAAACTAATAGATTAAGAAAATTTTAAAAATCTTTACATATAGACAGTTGCCATAGCATAAACCAGTATAAATTCATTTCTCACCTTGTGACCTACCTATATACATTGTTTTATCAAATCTGAAACTTAAAATTTCTACAGCATAAAATCCTGGTTTGGAAGCTGATAATATTGATCAGTGAACTCTGGGCAGTTTTTGCAGTTTAAGAATTTAAATTTATTTCACTAAATACATTTGAAATTAAGCAGATCAAATGAGGAAATAGATTAGAATCTCTCACCACCACATTTTATGGTTCTAAAAATTAGTTTAAATGTACCTCCCACCCATAAAGCTTCAATAGCTTTTTTTTTTCAAATATGTCCCAGAATGAACTTAAAGTGGTAAGAACTTAAAAAAAAAAAAAAAAAAAAGTTGCAGCTCTTAATGTTTTTATAAGACACCTCACATGAACAGGCAAGAATCTTTACAAAACTATCCACTTGAATGTATTTAAGGACTACATGCCCTTAACGAAATAGTACACATTAAAAGAACAATGACACTTCTATTTTTACTCTTGAATATAAAAACTTTTTAATGTCAATTTAACACTTTGTTTGTGTTGCTAATAAAGTAACAATACTGGGATGGGCCATACTGTAGAGCAAATGAATGGAAGATGTATTTATTGATGCTTAACCCTTTGAGCCCTAACCACCACTTTACTGGTGGTAGAGAAAAATGACTTAATGCCCAACCACCAGTTAAATAGTGGGTAAACACTTGAGTCATGTTTTGCTATTCTTGTGCATCAAGAGAGGCAGCACCTGCTGGGTAGACTGGAACACAAAGAAAGAATTTTGGTGAAGGCATGAAATCCATACTCTCTCTCCCTGCTAAGTATAATGCTTATATTTTTTGTAACTATTTTTATATCTACTGTGAAATATTACATACCAATTCTTTTCAAATTATGACTCAGGAGCTCAGGCAGAAGGGTTAAAATTGTTAAGGAATGCAGGGCTCAAAGAGTTAAGATTCTTGTTTTAGGCAAATCCAGAGATGATGGGTTGAGACAAACATCCATTCTAGTAGATTTCTTTATTTTACATATAGTTACTATTGTTAATTTTTTTAGCTGATATTGTTCATTTATAATAACTGGATTTAAATCCAAGTCTACAGTTTCTGGAATGCTCTGTATTATTTAAATACAAACTGCAAAAGTATAGAGAATTTCATTCTAAATTTCCCAGTGGAAAGTTATTCAATTTTAGGAAGGCTAAAAAAAAAAAAAATAGCTGCTCACTGGGAATCTCAAGACAAAACTTGGTTAAATCAAAAGTACACTTTACACACAAATTGAAAAGTGGAAGCAGTTCTACAATGAGAATTCCTTATATGCAAGTTTTAGTGCATAAATGAATTATTTTAACTAGCTTGTTATTTTTTTTATAATCTATTCATAGTCCTAGTTTTATTTATTAAGATTCAGGAAACCATAAGTGACATAAATTAGACAACCACTATCCAGTTAAGATCCAAAACTGTGAAAGCTGCAATTGTGATAAAATTTAATTTTGTGGAAAAAAAAAAAAAATAAATAGAAACCTTGGACCACTCAATTATTTGCATGCAATTTTAAATACTGAGCAGATTTTGTAATTAGATAAAATTCTTTAAAATAGTGTAATTACATTTTTTTTTTTTTTTTAAAAGCAGAAAAATATCAGTTGAGCCACTTAAGCATTTTTCAAATAAAAGTACTTGTTACAAACCAAAAAAGTTTTGAGCAGAAAAATAGTAAAAAATATTGACTTTTTGAACAAAAGAGCTTTTAAGATTTTTTTTTTTTTTTGGTAAAAATAAGTCGGTCCCAAAAGTTCTTGTCTGTGTCTGTACCAAAGGCACACTTTTCCTTCCTATAAAGACGATTGCTGTGTTTTATTCAATATTTTTTTGCTCATTCACGTAGCATACAAATTTCATTTGATGTTGGTTTCACAAGCCAAGTTTTTATATCATTTCCATGGCATGTTGTAAATTTTGTAGAGAAAACAGCTTGCTTTTTGTCATTGGGTTTAATGAGCCAGTCATTCAGTGATTTGGAGTTTCCAATATGGCTAGTCTTCGATGAAAATCTCTCAACTGGAACATTTTCTTTGTCTTCTTTACTCTTCAGCCAAACAGACATTTCAGTCTTATTTACAAATGGGCTAAACAGTACATCTCTTTCCTTACTGTTGATATGGCTTGGAGATTTGGTTGACATCAGGGGCTTAGGTTTGTTCAGATTGTTGTTCTCTATAGAGGATTCAGGCTTATTAATTAGCCATTTCTGTTCAATACAGCTTGGCTTGCTCAAACACTCACTGTATTTCTCACAGATTTCATTGGCTTTACACAATGAACTAACGGGTGGTAATGGTGAGCCAAGATTTTCATCAGTATCATGGCATGGTTCACGTATAGTCTGAGATAAGGTTCTTAAGTTTTTTGTCAACTTATTAACACAAGCAGAATCTCCAAGATTTTCAATATCACAATTCTTTACATCAGTGGTGCTGCAACAATTGGATTTACTCACTGAACTGTTGGACTTTTTCTGAAAAATAAATTTATAGATTATCATTATGGTAAATTAATATTTTATTGCTAAGTCATTAACTAATTAACAAATACAGTTACTACAAACTGATGTCTTCACTTTCAAGGCTACCTATGTTAAAAATGGTCTGAACATTAGATAGCTATCCAGTACTAATTATTTAAAGCAAAATATTAAGATAAGGGAGGGAGGTGACAAAAAAGTGATTTTCAATTCGTCTACCTACAGCATATCTTAATACACTCAACAAAAAAAGCAAACATGATGAAACTGATTTTGACTAAATATTGTATTTGTAATATCAGCTGAATTAATTTCCCCCTTCCTTTAATGTATTTTGGAATTTCAAACCTTGACCTGAGAGGGTACACATTTCACTTCTCATACACATTACACAAATGTATGTGTAAAACTGATGGATTCTAGATCTAATTGGCATATATAGTTAAAAGGTGGTAATGCTTCAATGCCTCATTGTGCCAAAAGCAGACAACAAAAATATCTCTATGGTCAAAGGGTCATAACTGTTATTGACAACTATTCACTCACTTTTGAATTTCTTTATTTGGGACTCAGTAATACAAACCATTTTCATTTTGATTGTATAAAAAGAATTTTTTGTTCAGTTAAGTGTCTAAGAATCTTATATGAGGGAGCACTTTGTTAAGGAATCTGAAATCTGTTAATATCCATCATATTTGCATTATTTCATTTTTATTTAAGCTTTTGGATTGCAAATATATTATTATCTAAGGATAATATTTTCACTGTATACATTCTTGTCTAGATTTTGAGAAGAAAATATGATTTGTGTAACAAATTACGAACATATTTTTAGCTTCATCTTTCAAACCAAAAAATTTCTTGTATAAGTTTTCTGAAGGAAATTTGCTTCTACAAGGTCCACGATGACTAATGTTATTAATAGCCAAACTGTTTTTGATAACACCCCTAATATAGGCATGTACTTGCATTTAGCATCAACCAACCAAAAATGATATTCATGCAATCTTTCAGCTTAGTGAATGAAGCATTGCTGTAAGTCTTTCAAGGTTATTCAAAATAGGACTGACAGATTTTTCTCTCCTAGCCTTCTTAACAGTTTCATTTTCTTACTTCTAATACTGTTAACTTTTCTGCATCAATACGGATCTTAGTTCAAATATTGTCTACAAGGTGTACATGCAAGTTTCATTTTTTAAACCAATATGTTCAAAATTCAGTTTTACTCTCACTAAGCAAAAAGGAAATGTCTCCTTCAATACAAGCAAAAATACACTGTAAACTGACACACAGACATCTCCATTCCCAAGTCTGTCTTAATAATGTATGGAAAAATCTTCAGAAAGCATTCTTTCCCACAAATATTCTGGTGCTCCATGGTCTAAAAACTACAGACCCAAGAGTTTTACCTAAAAAGCAAGAGTTATCTTTACTTGGCTTTCGACTGATTGGCACAATATTCATTATATATTCTACGTGGCTATTTTGCTCTGCATTCAAACAATTTCTAGCCCAATGGAGAGTGCAGCCACAAGTGAGTGTGTGTATATATATATATATATATATATATATATATATATATATATATATATATATATATATAGTGTGTGTGTGTGTGTATCCAACCAAAGATTTGCTAAAAAATGAGCATACATAAAACATCAAAATCTTTAAGTTAAAGTTCTTTTAAATCATCAAAAGAAAGAATGTTTTGATTATTAAATCATATTTTCTTAGAGCCCTTGAAATGTTTAGTTTTTTTTTTTTTTTTTTCTTGTACTGGCAGGTGACCATAAATTAGAACAGAACATTTTTGCAGTGAAAAACACATTGATTTGGAAATTCTTGGAAAAAAAAATCAAAAATTGTCTGATTAATGAAACTTTTAGAACTTATTCGCAATTTTAGGAATGTTTCTTTTTAGAGAATCGTAAAAACACTTTTTTTTTTTTTTTTTACATACCCCCCTCCACCCCCACTTGTTTAATTTCATGAAATTTTGAGAAATTCATTTTTGTAGGACCCAGTATCTTTCACTTTCCTACCACCACTTCCCTGTGGCTTTTCTATAAATTTCATGGTATTTGTTTCCTCTATGGTATCTAGACTTTATTCTTCCTTGGTGCACACTGCTAGCAAAGCAGCCATGTTTACACTTTAACAGCAGCAACAAAACTGGTATGTTCAACTTCAAATCACTTGATCACAATAGTACCAATTATAAGCATGCACAGGCAGAAGGCAGTGTGAGAAACCTAAAGAAATGTTATGGTGAAAGTGTGGATAATTTTTACTTATATATATATTTTAGTGACAGTGTATGTGTGTAAGAGGGAAATGTATGAAAGCTCTAGAGAGAGGTGTAATGGAAGAAAGAAGAACAAAAAAGGCCTAAAGGTGAAGGTGGGGATTAAAATTTAAAAGAGAGAAGTCTTAAAGAGTGAAGCTAAATAACAGTTTAAACGAGTGAGACACAGATAAATATGAATTATTCTCAGATGCAAAAATCACTACCGATTCACTAACCTAAAATTAAAAAACAAACACTGGAAACATGTGGATACATTTGTGATGACGTTAGGGACAATAAAAAAAATGGTATGATCTAAACTTAAAATCTAGCCAATTCATACTGCCAATGAAGATATGAAAATTTTCCGTCTGGTTTGCATTTACTAACCTTATGTATACATGAAAAGAGAAGATGAGAGAAAGGAAGAGAAGGTAAAGAGGGGGGAGAACTAAAAATGAGAGCATTTAAAAGAGAGATGATGCGTAATCAAGAATAATTAGACGTATGTATATATGTATGCATGAGTATGTGTATATATGCACACACACATATATATGTGCTTGTATGCGTGTGTGTATACATACATATATGCGTGTTTTTGTGCATATAAATAGTAGGTCTTTACTGGATTAAATATCAAGAAACATATACAAATATTTAAATCCAGTAAAGACCTACTATTTATATGCACAAAAACACACATATATGTATGTATACACACACGCATACGAGCACATATATATGATGTGTAATCAAGAAACATATACAAATATTTAATCCAGTAAAGACCTACTATTTATATGCACAAAAACACACATATGTATGTATAAACACACGCATACAAGCACATATATATGTGTGTGCATATATACACATACTCATGCATACATATATACATACATCTAATTATTCTTGATTACGCATCATTTCTCTTATAAATGCCCTCATTTTTAATTTGCCAACCTCCCTTTTCTTCATCTCTCTCATCTTCTCTTCTCATGTATACCTAAAGTTAGTAAAGGCAAACCAGACAGAAAATTTTCATATATGCATCTGCAGTATGAATTGGCTGGATTTTAAGTTTAGATCATATCATTTTTTTTATTGTGCCTCACAGCTGTTTGAGGTTTCCTATAGCCCCACTGAACTTAAATTGCTATGGTAGAAATTTTCTATCCCAAGTAAAAATCATCACAAAAATGGCAAAAGTCATTTTGTCACAGCTTATTTTCTCTGAAAAAAATGGATTTTCATACTTTTATAGGGGTAAAATATTGAAAAATGACTGTTTTATCATCATCTAAACAAATATCAAGTAAACTTTTGATCTGAACCACATGAAACTAGGTATTTTCTGAAAGCAAAGGATATATTCTTTCATTTAAAAGTAAAATTGGCTGGTGTAAATGACTCAAATATTTTTCAGGGGGTAAAATGTGAAAAAAATAGTGAAAATTTTGCATTTTTTTTTTTTTTTTTTTAGTTCTAAACAAAAATTTTCCCCATTAATGGGAAATTAACCATTTTTTTTAGGAAAAATCAGAAAGCCTAAATCATAATCAAACTATTTCAGGCATAAAATTGAGAGTTTTGAAGGAAATCAACATTCCTAGGGGGTCAAAATGCGACAAAGTCCACTGGTAATTTTCAATTATATGACTGCTAGGGGTTAAAAAATTGACACCTGGCCATGGAAATATGTAGTGAAAGGCAAAAGATTTATCTATAATTCCTAACCAACAGAAACCAAAAGTCCCCCCCCAAAAAAATAGCAGCGATAAGGAAAATCAAGCCAAATTGACTTTGACATGTTTGTGTCAAAAGTCAGCTAGCCAGCAAAAAACGTTGTCGCCAGCTTGTAACCAGTACTTTCTGAGCGAGTGTTCGGTTGTACTCTCTTCCTACGGACGGGAGGAACCCAAAGGAGGCTATGCCGAAGGGAGGAGTCTCCTTCGGGGAGGTAAAACCAGAACCCGTTTATACGGGTTCAATGGGCATATTTTTGGCCGAGCCCACGTTAAAAAGGCCTTGTGCCACATGACACCCTCGTTTGGGGGGGGGGGACTGAATATCATCAGCTTGTAATAAAACCCACCACTCTTGCGTTTTTCATGGTCAGTTTCCATTATTTCATCTTGATGTTGTCATTTTCGGACAGCCAAGTCATCAAGACTTCAGGAAAACAGTTTGGCACAGGTTTGCTTTAAGAACTTTACATTCTAAGAGGTATTTAAAATGTTACTGACGAATGGGATTTTTCACCGAATATTTTGTTTACTCACCATGTTAGATTTTCCTATATGACAAAAACAAAGGTTTTAAACAGCCATGGTTTCTGGTGTCTATTTTTCAATTTTAGGTCAGTGAATTGGTAGTGATTTTTGCATGTTCTTTTTTCCGTCACACCTCTTTCTAGAGCTTTCATAAATTTCCTTCTCACACTTGTTTCCCACTCCCACACATACATTCTTACTGAGATTTTGTTTTTTATACCCAGAGTTATATTTCCCAATTTCTTTTTGAATTTGTAGGTCTGATGAATTGGATCATGATTACGCTTCCAATGTGATAAATTATAACCATGGAATATTAGTTTTTGAGCCTTTTATATTATATTCTTACTCTGTCCTGGACATTGAGCTCTACCTGGATTCTATCCTCTTTGAAATATATATATACACACACACACACACACACACACACACACACAAGACTAGCATGGAAAACTAAAGGTGTAGATTTCCGACCCAGTTTGTTTAATTTCAGCAGCAATATTTTTCATTGTGTAGAGGTGATGACACCTGGCAAATATGAACTTAAACCCGCATTAAAACATTTTGGTGATATTTCTACACCAGTACATACAATCATTACAAACCCAGAGTAAAGCATACCACAATTTTGATAGAGAGAATCTTTATGTAACTGAGTATGGTTCAAATTTTCTCTAAATACAACAGGCTACCCAACAAATTTTGAGAATTTTGCTTGGTTTGGTATTGTAAAAGAAAATTTCAAAATAACCATTACTATAATTATCCAAATATAAGCACTGATGCTTGAAGCCATATACATTCAAATGTTCCAAGTGGATCATAAGTCAGTATTTTACAATTTTGAATTTTTCAATATTTAAAAATAATTGCATTGATCTATGCAATGATAAAGTATTTTACTAAGTTGAAAATAAGAGACATATACATACCTTTGCAAGCCAAATGCTGAGGTCCTGTGCAGCAAGCTTTTTAAAGTAAGAGAATGTAGGTAAATTGGTTGATTTTTCCATAGCCATCACTTTACGTTTAGGAGAAGAGAGCCATTGACTGTTGTCTGTATCACGGCATCTCTTGTCACCAGCAGTCTTGTATTGAGGACCATATACCACAGAGGGTGGGCTCGATGACACAATCTCAATAGAATCAGTATCTCCATCTAAAACGAAAATTTAAAAAAAAAAAAAAAAAAAAAAAATGAGAAAAATAACTAGAAGAGAAATTTGATTTACTCATATTTGTTACAGCATTATTTATTGGTTTCTCTAAAGCTATTTCTTTCTCTTTCATCACCTTTCTGTTTACTCTTGTTCATTTTGAATCTCAGATCACACAAACCATTCTTTCTAAAAGATTAAAACATTGTTATTTTACCATTTCACATTCTAATCGAACACTGCTTAAGTTATTCTCAAAAAGGATCTACTCTTTTCAAGGACTGTTTTAATCACTATATCTGACAAGGATCTTTACAATTTAGGTTAAGTACATTTTTCAATTATTCTTATATTTTTTCAAATATAGAAATATACTAAAAATATTTTAGTACATTTTTCAAATGTTTTTATGAGTGTAGAATTTCATCTGCATCCTTGTGTTTCCACTATTTATAATATAGTTGGAGTGTGCCAAGTAGGGCACAATATATTCCCATAGAACACAGCAGTAAACACTTAAAAATACAAACAGAATTTTTAACAAATAATGTCACAAAACAAATCCTTATATTTATTATTAATCCAATATGACTATCTAGTATTACTAGGTATAAAACCATCTGTCTATATTTCTGAGATGAGGTATTATGTACATTATTTACATTATTCGGACTATTGTCCTCATCTTGGTCGCCATATTTATTACAACGCTTCGGCCTTCTTCAAGTGGTTGGAATGTTGAACTGAACCCTTTGTTTTGCTCACTGGGGTAGACTGTTCTAGTTCCATGTGCCATGTTTAACAACTCATCTTATCCACTTTATCCTTTATCCATTGTGTCATGTGTCCTCAAGGACACATGGCACAGTGGATAAAGGCGTTGGTTAGATCCAGTGACAGGACTCAAAAAGTGTGAGTTCAATACCCGGTTAAGGCAGTGGAGAACTTTCAGAGGGAAAATTAACAGGAGATAACTGATAACTTACATCCATTAAACATAAGCGAAATAAAGGGTTCAGTTTGACATTCCAACCACCTGAAGAAGGCCGGAGCGTACAACGGCTGAAACGTTATAATAAATATGGCGACCAAGATGAGGACAATAGTCTGAATAATGTAAATAATGTATAAATTAAGCAAGGAGGAATAAAGGCGGTTTCAGTGAAGGTTTTTACAGCTGATATTTGCTTTCCCACAAAATTAATATAACACATGGACAGGATGGCTGCATGCTTACATGCATGGAGAGGAGGAAAGGCCTATACCACAAAAGCAACAGGGCAACCTATTAGTGCTGTCTCCAACGATTAGGCACATGTTTTTATTTTCTGTCTTACCCTGCCAAAGACAAAACAGCTGAGCACAGACTTTGAGCTACATTCAATGTGTGCTTTTAGTAAAACCACTTTTACACTATAAATACTTACCACTACTAAGTTCACCTCTATCCAGCATTTCAAATCCGTCTTCCTCATTGTCAGGGTTTTGCTTGATCTGATGCAACCAATGCTGGATGCTGGTGTTCTTGGTCATTTGAGGCAGACACATTGTGTATGGTTGACAGACAGTTGTCAGTGACGAAGAACTCTCAGCCAACCAGCTACTTAACTTGCTATCTTTGAATGGAGCAAACATATATTTGGCAAATGAACCTGGAGTTGATGGAGCAATGGTTGTAGTCACTGAAGTTTTTTTTGCCAACCATTCACTGGGACTTGCACTTCTAAGTCGTGGGATGTTAACATAAATCTGAAAAAAAAAAAAAGAAAAAAAAAAAAAAGAAAAAAAAGTTAGCTTGGGAATTATCTGGAGGTGACTAATGATATTGTATTTTATCAATCTTTTAATTAAAGTTATATTTAGTTGACCTGAAGATATTTATGCCATACATGTACATATTTACTATTTGTCAAAAAAGTTAAATAATAATAATAATAATAAAGCGCTATTACTGCAGTTAGTACACCTACTCAACTACAAGAGTCAATACACTATTTAAAAGTTACTTCAGCAATATTTTTGTATTGTATACCACCACAACATCTAGTGTATTACCGTTTGCTTCAACAAGTGATGAAGTACATGACAGAATTCTAAGGTAGCTGTGTCTTGACCACAATTGTCTAGTCTTCAAAATAAGAAAATGAAAGCAAAAGACCAAGATACTGAAACAGCAAGAACAACTGGACTCAAACAGGGCTAACAATACTTTTGTGGAATTACCACCAGGAGGAGAGTTTCCAACTCACAGTAAAATACCTTTGATTCAGATGCTAATTCAACTTCTTACATGTAGTGTTATAAAAAAAAAATCTTCAATTTTATCTAAATATTTAGAATCATGTGTGTTAAAACAGGATTTTGCTCAATAAACTGAGTGACAGCACTTCACCAAACAGAAAAATATTCAGAGGAGAAATTTCAATAAACTTAAATAAAAGATAAATCAACTTTGGCGAGACAAGCCTGCTACTGTCACTGCTTAGAACACATCCATTAAGCTGAGGAGCAGGAGTCTAATATCTTCAGGAATTTGCTAGCCAAGGATGATAAGTTCAACTCTAGGTAGGACCGCAAGAGTCAGCATAGTTAACAAATTTAATACCACAAAGATTCCAAAAGTAGTTATATATCCACTGACTGAAATGAGACAACACAAACCTATGTCTAAAGTGGGATTACTATATATACCAGAGTATTATGAAAGTTTTCATGATCAGTGTTTTAAGCAAAAAATATGTGGTCACTATATACAAGTAATTTTTTTTAAAGAGGTTAAAAAATCATGCATTTTCAGTGGTAGGCCTACATTCTCATGGTACCTTTGACTAAGCTTAACAATACAGGTAAGCTCCTTTAGTCTGCCTCCTCTAGCCTACACTCTTTTTTTCTGTGGCTACATGAACAGCAGGATGTTGTTTACTATGTGTGTCACTTAAAATCTACAAATACCTTATATAAATGAATAATTAACAATGTTTTTATTTTCTTTTTCCAATTAGCATTCATCTTCATTTGCATGTGTTTACATCACTGAGGCATTGCTTTTCCAATTGTATTCCTTTGATACACATCTATATCGTATGTTTCAGTTATGTTCCTTATTCTGCCTTCCTGTTTATTTACATTTATTTTTATTTATTATATTCTTCATATTTACTTGTATTATTTCATCTTATAATTTTGTTACATATTCTTAAAGTATTTTGACAAGATACACCACAATATGTCTTAAATGATGTTTGTACAGGGCGAAATAGCAAATGAAGTAATTCTAGTAGGTTTATTTATGCACCAAAGAAAATAGTTTTTTTTTTTTTACTGAAGATTTATTAACTATACATGAAAAAAGTACAGTATCTAAATCTTCATATCATATACTTTAGGTAAGTAGTTTTTATCACCATTTTGGGATAGCATTGTACAAAAGAAAATGAAGACTATTTGCTATGAAATATGTCCAGAATGATGCTCAATACTGCAATATTCCACTACAGTAGGCCTACTAGTATTGCTCAGAATCTGGGGGGGGGTCACATTATAAAGGGTGTTCCAATAACTTGGACGGGATTTTAAATGTGAATTACGTTTAAGCGTCTAAAGATTTTTTTTCTTTTTCTTTCAGATTTAACAACTTAAGTCTTTGGCAATTTCAACCACGGAAAGATTAGCTTTCAATGTGTTAAACTTTCAAGAGTGCAATTGGAAAAATTGTTCATAAATTCAAACAAACTGGGTTGGTGGCAAATGTGAAAACACTATTATGTGCTCATTTACACCATTCAGCTGAAAACATTGCTGCAGTGCACAAGGATGTGGCCAAAAATTCAGACACCTCTATTCATCATTGCATGCAGGAATTGAGCCTCTCCACAACAACATTACATCATTTTGAATTGCCTCTCAGTTGGTTGATCATGTTGACCAAAAAATCATGAAGTGCACAAAATGCATTTCTGTTTGAATGTCCATTTTTGTAATAGGCTTTGATAACTTTAACACGTTTGATTGTTAATCTTTCCATGTTTGAAATTGCCAAAGAATTAAGTTGTTAAATCTGAAAGAAAAAGAAAAAAAAAAAAAAAAAATCAGTAGACACTTAAACTTAATTCACATTTAAAATCAGTCCAAGTTATTGGAACACCCTTTACAAGAACTATATGAAAAAAATCAGGAATTTTACCAAAACATTCAAGGGTTGCACTAGACATGAAGTAGGCTTATTTATACATGAGTATATACAGTATTAATAATATCATTCAGTCCTCATTAGTACTTCCCTCTTGAGATACCTCATGGATAAGGGATCGACACTGACTATCCTTTTTTTTTTTTTTTTTTTTAACTACAATGGGAGTGATGTTGCTAGTGGAGTGTTAGCTCCTTGGAATCGAGCATGTTATTTTATCGGTTATAGTTTTTAACTAATGCATGTGACAATCAGTTAAGATGGTTAACCTGTAGGTGGGAATTCTTAATATTATAGTTAATGTGATGATTTAGCTTTAGTGAGTATGTCTACATAATTGAAGAAAAACAAATATGATCATTTCTTTTATGATAGCTGAAGTCTTCTCTTGGAAATCACAGAAATAATTTTGTCAGATCCTTATAATCCCACTACCACCTAAGCCATTCTCGATTGGCACACTGATCCATATCTTAACCAGGATATCAGATGTCATTGTGGTATCACAGCTGATGTTAGGAATTATGGAACAGAACGTGCTTTGTTCTCAATTATAATTATCATAACAATACAATACAAATGAAACTGAAAAGAATTGACAAAATTTAGTTAGTGATGACAAAGTTTACTAATATTATGAAGTTGTTGAGGCTGTTTGTTCTTATATACAAAACAGTAAAAGAATTGATGTTTTATTTATATATATTAAATGTAGATGACAATTTGAAAATCGTCCTGGGTAAGACGATAAACTACATCCAACAGCAAGGCCTCTGATCAGGTTTTGAGGAAGTGTGGAACCACCTCTTAATTGCTGATGTTCCCAAGTCCACCCTGACCTGGGGTGGTAGCACCTGTTAGGGTCCCAGCTATGGGCAAATAGCGAACTAACAGTTTTTCCCATCATATATCCGCGTCCTGAGTATGGCGATAAACTATGTGAAAAAATAATGTTGCCAGCTATATGTTTAGTAGTACTATATATATATATATATATATATATATATATATATATATATATATATATATGCTGAGCAATAGACCAAGTTATTTGGGGTGCAGTTTTAAGGTTAAATCAAAATTTCAAGTTTCTCTTTAATTTTGTTGCCAAAATTAAAGAGAAACTTGAAATTTTGATTCAAACTCAAAAAATTAAGGAAGATTTTATACAGTATTATTTGAATTACTGATAGTAAAATAACAAATCCTTAAATTCAAATCTATTCTGATTTGCTATTCCTAATCCTTTGCAAAATACTTTTACTTAACAATGAAATATTATCTTAACATGATATTGTAGAAGCCAATGTATTTTAAGCCAAATTGGTTTACCACATAAAAGTAACTATAATTATTTTGGTTTTTTGTAGCAGAATATAACTTTATTGCAAAATTTGTACAAAAACTTTCTGATTAACATTTTTCACACCAAAAATAGTTATGTAAAGAAAAGGTTAAGAATTTTAATATTAACCTTCATTTGTATTTAAATTTTTTTGAACCAATGTTTTAGTATACTTTATGTAGAGGTTAGTAAACTAAATACATTATATCACTATTAAAATGGAGCAGGAGTTGAGAGAGAAAAAAGGAAAAGTTTTACTTTACTACTAAAAAGGAAAAGTTTTACTTTACTACTAAACCAAAACTCAGCTGAACAAAAGAGAAGAGATACCAAACTCATCCCAGGCAGAGTACATCCTAAACAAAAGTGTTAATCTCTACACAAGTAATGCTCTCATTTTTGAGAAATGGTATTAAAATCTGCAAATTTTTAGGATTTCAAATCCTTTTATGATTTAAATCTTGATTTCATCTAGTAATGTAAGTCTTCATTAGCATAGAAACCATAGAAACTAATTTTGCAATAAATTCACCTGTGATAAAACTTACATTTTTTAAAGTCTATGAGAATAAGATGACTTACTAAATATTTCTTGCTTATTTTCACTTTCTTCAGTAAAATATTAACTTACTTTCTTTTCTGTGTTTGGACCTTGTTGAATTTTTTCTACAGTCTTGTAAAGAACATGATGTTCAGCATCACCATAATCTTCAAACTGCTTTGGTAGGCTGGCAGAACGATTGTCAGGTAAGGGAATTCCATTGGCAGTGATTCTACCAAAGTTCATCAACACATCATTCAGACCAATGGGTGTTCCTTTGAAAGTCATATAAGGAAGTTCTTCAGGTGTTAAATCACTTAAACTCAACCTGGAAAAACAAATTCAGAAAAAAATAAAATAAAGTATTATCTTTGGCCTCTTAAGTTATTAAATTATAATTAAAAAAAATTAAAAAGGTTTTTGCAGTGGGTTTAACACAACAGTTAAAATACATAACTTCAAAATGTGTGCTTTTATAAAATTTTGAGTTGAGGGAATAATTTTACATTAGCTATGAAAAATATATCTTAAAAAATAAAACTAATCATGAAAGATTTAATTCACATAAAGGAGAAAGTTTTCATTAATTTTAATCAGACAAGAAAAAAAATTCAAATTAGATACCCAAACTTTACAGTGTGAACATGTGTCAAAATAGTGAAATTTACCTCATTTCAACTGCTGATATTGTGTTTATTTTTAGGCTATTTTAATAAATAAGGAGTGCTAAAACTGAGAAGAAAAAGAAGAAAAAAAGTGTCAAACTGCTACTGAGAAAGTTGGTCACCAAGCATGGTGACCTTGTGAAGTCTTTTGAAGATAAGCAGTGGTTTGGAAGCACTGAAAGATCAACTTTCCGAAGGTTCTCTTAGGTATCAAGATCAACACCAACTGCTCCTTGCAACTATTTGCCAACAAGGAAATCAGCTAATTCATCTCCACCTCTAAGACAAAGGAAAAAAGAAAAAGGCATTCAGTGATTCTAAGTATTTAAACAACTCTAGCAGTTGTGATGAAGAGCCACCTCAGGTGTCCTTCAGTTATGAGCACCAAGGCCAATGGGTTGCAGCATATTATGACTCCAACTTTTACATTGGTCAAGTCATTGATATTGCATCTCCATTCAGTGCTGTGATAAAGTTTTTATCTCCAACAAAGAGCAGAAATTATTATTTCCAATGGCTTTTGTCAGATTATATTGCACAAATGGAATCAACATTTGTCTACAGATAGGACTTTGATGTAATGTCAGTTTCAAGTTTGTTTCCAATGAAAAAAGGAGCTTTTGTATCCGATGTTTAGGAAATGCAATCAATTCTTTAATCTTTTTAAATTCTGTGTAACCAATAGTTATGTCCAAGATAGAGTTTTTAGTGAAATATCTCACTCATTCCTAGTTAAACTATGGATCCAAATGCTGTACCATTTATCCATAGCTGAGTAGCAGGCAAGGAAGAAGTGGATTTATGCCTTTCCTAAAAGCATAAGATAGAAGTATAAAAAGGTGTGTTATATTATAAAATAACAAACTAAATTTTATAATGGAATTTAGCTGAGAAAATATTCAACTAAGATGAAGTATTTTTCAGCATGGAACTCTTAGCAAATAACTTTTTATTAAGGGTCTCTATCAGAATTCTTCAATGTTGGTAAAATTGAATGAATATATACCACACAAACACATATTCTCATCACATTGACTCACTTTTATTGAAATATACAAATTGATGTGTAAAATGTTCCCACCAGAAATCATGTAAAACAATAAATAAAAGTAATTTAAAGATTACTAAAATAATATATTAAATTTTCATTAATCCTTATATACTTAGGTTTTTTTAGGGTTTTTTTTTTTTAAACTGATTTTGCAGTTTCCTTTCCTTAAAAAAAAAAAAAAGAAAAAAAAATGTATAGCCTAAAGCAGGCAATATATTGTGAAAATTGATTTTGGACAATTATGTTTATCCATATTTATCTTTTACATTTTATGATCATTTTTTATGTAATAAATCAGAAGTAGACATCAACATGAAATTTTAATGTTCCTATTTAATTCAATGAGTAAATTTTCCAGCAATTCATAATTTACTACACACACACAAAAAAAATAAATAAATAAAAAAAACAAAATAAAAACATATTCATCTTTAAAGTTTGGAAATGACCACATTTCAAATTTTACAAAAACACAATTTAAATACCAATCAAATTTCTAGAATAATTCAAAACACTTACTTTTCAAATTTCTCATCAAGATCTTCTTCAGGTGAGACAACAGCACGCTGTAGCTGACCAAGACTTCGGCTAAGGACAGCATGTTGCTTATGCAAGGCTTCTTCCCTTTGAGTTTGTATTTGATCAACTTGGTTGAGCAATTGGACCTCTCGATTACGAAGAGCTTCTAAGAGCCGACTCATCTGTGAATGGATCTGGGATTTGAGCTAAAGAGAAAAAATAACTAAATAGAGTATTATAGATAATTTAATACTTTATTACAAATACATCAAACACCTAATTTAATTATCAGAATATTTTATCAAAACTCAAATCTGTTTGTGTCCAATCCCTTACATTCATGATAGCATCTCTCTTCAAACAATCTTAAGATTTTGAGCATGGTCAATTCTGATAGAGACAAACCAACAGAATCATCTACATTTCCATGATGATATTACAAGTCCTATTGAAATGGACCATACAAATTATCCTATAAAAACTTAAAATATCAAAATTTATGATTCTCTCCACAGAAAACTGTTTTACATTACTGCTGTGTATAGAGACTATAGATTTTAGGCTTTGATTTAATTTCTAACAAATACTATGGATTTTAGAAGTAAAATAAAAGATTCCATAAAATTTTCATGAAGAAAAGTGTTGTAAAGTAGGACTTCCTTCTCTTCTCTACTACTGTGAAAATGGATGACTCCTACTTATAAATATGGCAAGTAGCGAGTATGAGTATTTAATAAACGTCTTTGTTTTTCCGACCTAGCCTTCTGTTCCTTTGATATACTCTAACTACAGCCTTCCCAATGCTCATCTATTTTGAACAAAGACAACATTACAACAAAAAGCAATGAAAAATGGGAACTAACAAAAGACTCACATTAATAACTATCATATTAGCGGTGGGGCTTGGTGCTAACAAGTAAAAGAATCCATAAAAGCAGGTAATTAATAATAAGCTAAATTTACTTTTAGGACCTTTTAAGGCAAAGTGGGAAGGAAATAGCAAAACTAAGAAAAAACTTGCTTTCACTCCTTATAGAATAGAGATATGATTAAGTGGATGCGGCCTTAAATAATTCTACAATAACATAATTTTAGACTTACCTCTGAAGAATTTTGATAGAGACGGCGTTTAGCATTCTCCAACTCGACCAATTTTTCTTCAGCAGCCTCCAGCAGTTGATGTTTCTTCATCTCTGAGGTATCCATTTGGTTTAAAAAGTCACGCATACAGGATGGATTCATCACCAAAATGGAACCTTGAAAAAAAACAAAAAAAAACTACAATCAAATGTGAAAATAATGTGAGTTCACCAAGATGAACTAACTACAAATAATAAAGATGACACTGAATTTTTCAGTTGTACATAGGATATTTTTTCCAATAATGGAGTAATGAGAGCCTTTAACCAACAACTACATATAAAATACTATTCCGCATCTCAATATTCATTTGTTCCTTATTGTTAAACACCGAGTCTATTTTTCTTCAAAGCTCTATGACCAATGATGAAAAGGCTCCTTTTTATATTGATTAAATAAATGACCAACTTAAAATAGAGCGATCTAAAGCAAACATTCAGATGCCAAATAAAATGAAATCAAGACAAAATTTCTAATTCATAACCCCCCACCAAAAAAAAAAAAAAAAAAAAAAAAAAAAAAAACGAAGAAAAAAAAATAGCAACAGGATGTCTACATTATTCAAGCCGTCATTCAATAAGGGAGTTACAATCATACTAACTGGAACTAGGGATACATCGACATAGTATAATGGTCTCACTAAAACAATTATGACCAAGTAGTAAATTCAATCCTCAATGAGTGCCCCATAATTTCAGCCTTGTGTCACATCTAAGCTATACTAACTGAGACCAGAAATACTGTGAAGGAGAAAGGGTATTTAAGATGAAAAACATCTTCACAAAATATTATTTCATGTACATAGGTACCTTCATGACAGGATGAAAAAGACACCAAACTTGACGAAAACAAAATTTTAGCGTCTAAATGCTTATGTTATTATTGAGAGGAAAGATCAAAGTTTATTTTAATTATTTAAAAAAAAAAAACGCTATAATTTCAATTTTGGGAAGATTAGTGATTATATTAGTTAAAAGCACAAGGCTTCAAGGAAACTAAATCATGTTTTTTTTTTATTTTATTTGGACCACCTCTACCTGAAAATTGTCTCTGAATTGTAACATACAAAACTCAATGTAACAAAAATATTATTTAAATTCAAAAGCTTTTAATTGCTTTTATTTATTTCAATGAACATGGACAATATTGTCTGAAAGCAAAAAGATATTTCATGAAAAATGAATTAAAACAATTATTTGTTATTTCTGAAATAATTTATTATTTTTACATTAAATGTAGTTAATTCTTCTAAAATTAGGGAAAAATTTGTAAAATTTAACGAATGTTGTTATTAAGTAGATATATATTTACAGATTATAATTTCCAAAGCTTTTTACAAACTAATGAACAACAGTATATAAAAAAAAAAAAATTTGTGTCAATAATAACACTGTAAATCAAATCTACAGAAGACCGGAAGTATCATGAGTGCAATAAAAAAAACGTCATGAGCTTCTGTTTAGTATTTAACTTAAATACTAAATTTTTAATACAATTATTTGTTATTTCTTTAATTATAATAGATTTTTACATTTCTGTTAAAATATTATAAAATTAGTTAAAAGCCGCAGTTCCGTAAATGTCCTTTTGAGATATAGATTTATTTTTGTGAAACGTGGAAAAGTTAATTTGATTTTTCAATTTCAACTGAGAAGGGTACCTACAAGTATCACTATAATCTTATGAAATTTATATGATCTTATTTTTATATTAATCTCAGTTATGACATTTTTCCATAAATGAAATATCAAAATTAATAATAAAATGAATGGAAACACAAATAACACAGTAAAATGTAATAAATGTACATAAAATTATAGTATTTTATGTACACTTCTGATAAAATTTCATAAGGTACCTATAAATTAATTAGATACCTTTCTTATGAAATATGAAATTTAATCTCACTCTTAACAGTCTTATTTTAATTTCTTTATAATATATTTTCCATAGAGCATCTTAAACGTGAAAGCTAAGTACAAAAAAAAAAAAAAATTAGAGCACTGAAAGTTTCCTTAAAAATAACGAGGTAAATAATTTGTTCACTTAAATGTAAATTATTTCACTTTTCTCCTTCCGTAGAACAAATTAGCCTCACGGAATCCATCAATATGTCATTCATCACCTGTCAAGTGACGCAAAAGTTTATGACCTGCTTTGTTTTATTTTCGGTGCAGAAGCTAAGGTAAGCTTGGTTCAAAATATTTTAAATAAACATTATAATTTCTGATTTTCTTGAAATAAGTTTTGAAAAAATGATAATTGATATTTAAAAGAATTTCAAAGTGAGATTTCCAGTTGTTTTTTATAAAATGGAAAAAATCGTCAATTTTGCTGACTCAAAAAAAAAAAAAAAAAAAAAAAAAAAAAAAATTAACAAAAATTTCGGACATGCTAGGAACGATTAAAAAATGTAAAAAAATACCCCCAAAATACTTTGATCTTTCTTCTTAATAATAAACATTTAGACGATAAATTTTGTTTTTGTCAAGTTTGGCATCTTTTTTATCCTGCTATGCTCTGTTTTTAGCGATCTAATGAAGGTACCTACATGTATATATTGTCTATGAAGAGTGAAGTAAGTATGAAAAGATTTGTAGATTTCAGAGTCCTTTGTAGTAGAGAAATGAAATGTTTAAGAAAAACATTTTCTGCACAATGATCAAAAACGACCATTACCTCAATAGCATAAACATTTTCTCATTATTTTTAAAAATATGATCAAATTTTAAGACATGAAAACATATCTCAAGCCAATGCTTAAAAATGTAATTTTTCTTTCAGTCTACACAAATTGATAACATTTTTATAAGATCAGTTTAATTTTTGGGTTTTGTCAAAAAGCTAAAAACAAGGGAAAAAAAGCAGACATTATTATTACATTAGCAACAGTGAATAGATGAAAATAAATATTTTGTTTTAGAAAACGAGTTTCATGAAACAACCAGCATTGATCAAACTCATGTCTAACAATGCCTTGCTACATTTTAAACTGAAATATCACTCACTAGTCTCCTCTTCATCCGTGAGGAAATTGTCCAATATGGCAGTGGATGCTGGACAATTTTCTTACAGTTAAAGAGGAGACTTGAAGCAACAGTGATGTGGTTCTATGAGAAGGATGTTGAGTATACCATGGGCAGAGCATATAAGCTACAAAGAACTTTTAAGGAAAATAGAAACAAAATGAGCACTTATATTTAGAATCAAAAAGAGAAACTGAGAAAAGTGTTTGAAAATTTACCATTCACAGAATATATTGATGGCAAGAAGAATTGAAAGAAACAGTAAGTAACCTATACCTAAGAAACTTGTGTAAATGGATGACAGAAGAAGAGGAAATGGGAGAGATAGGCAAATACTGATTAGAGCTAGAAAGGATAGAAAGTTGCAGAGAGCCAATATCACTCATATATCAAAGGGAAACAACACATTAAAAAGATTCTTGCAACAGTAAAAATAAAAAAATACATTGGAATCTTTAAGTTATCTGTAAATCAATAAATTTGTCCATATTGACAAATCTGTCAGCACAACAGAATTCTCTTCATTAAAAAAAGACTTTCAAAAATGAAATATACTTTTCTGAAACTTTGAGAAAAATTAACCAATTTAAAGTTTAATTAATTTGAATTGAAACAAATATTACTTTTAGTTCAAAATATTGCAGAAAAGCATATTTTAACATGGAGGGGGTGTATTTTCTGATATCTTAACAACCTGATGTTTGGTGAATTTAAGTAAAGTGGGAGCAAGAAGACATACAGAATCTCATATTGATTGGGATGAAATGATTAAAAGAAACATAACTGAAAAAATTGATGAATACAACATGAAGGCCTTTTTTTATGTAATTTTAGGTACTTTGACTTTTCGTAAGACACTTCTTGAGAAAATGTTAGAAAAATATCAATAAATTTAAAATTTATTATAGGTAACTCTTATTTTCTGATAAGGTCATGTATGAATGTCCCTATTTACAAAAATTGACACATTTACACACACACAAAAATTCTTTTTAAAATAATGTAGTCATTGAATTGTTTTTCCATTTATGATTAGTAAATAGTTTTAATTTAATATCAATATTACTTGAATGCTGCAAATTAATACATATTTTTAAAAGATTTAAATAGATACCTCCACAGATTTGCTAAAAAGTGAGCATTCCATGATGAAAAAATGCTCCTAACTTAATAAAAACAAAGTTTTATCGTCAAATTTTTTGTTATTATTAAGAGTAAAAAAAAAAAAAAAAAAAAAAAAAAAAAAAAAAAAGGATTTCTTGATTATTAAATTAAATTATATTTTTTGATCCTTTTTAAAATTATCAAAATTTTGTGTTTCTTGCATCAACAGTGGACCAAAGATTAATATAGGTAATTTTAGCATCTTGAAAAACACATTATTTGGAAATTCTTGCAAAAATCAAATATTTTTCAGATTTTAATGGAACTTTCAGAACTTAACAAGTGAATGAAATTATTTTAGAAATCTTTTTTTTTTTTTTTAATAGAAAACCCTTTGTAAACATCTTTATGAAATTTTGAGAAATTAATTTTTGTACTGTTTAATGTTTATATTAGTTATATGCAGAACTCCTTCGAGAATTTAAATCATGAATTCTTTTTGTAAAAACAGGACCTCCAGTTATTAAAAATCTACCATGAATTGTAGAATAAAAATGCAATAAAACTAAGACATTATTTAATTAGAAAAATTTTTGTTTTCAAGAATGACTTTTTACAAGAATTTTTTTTTTAATTTTAATTAGAATTTATAAAGTTTTATATCTTTTATATTTTTGTATTAATTTTTTGCCAGTTAGTGGATATTGTTTTTAAGTAAATATTATATTTACTAATCATAAATGGAAAAGCTTATTACAATTCAGCATCCCCACCAATATTTTAAAACGAATTTTGAATTTTTTTTGTGTATGAACATGCCAATTTTTATAAATACAGATGTCCATACTTAACATTATCAGAAAATAAGAGTGATAACTATAGTAAATTTAAAGCCAAAGATCACTAGTTAATTAAAAATTATATAAAAATGTGCTCACATTATATACCTCAAATAACTTTTACAGATATGTCCACCATAGAAAAAAAATTAGATAAACTTCCATCTGTCAGTCAACACTTTAAACAAACAGCAACTGCTGTGTTAAAAAAATGCATTTTTGTGATATTTTACTTAAAGTAATATTTGTTTCAAATCAGATAATATTCCTCAAATAAAGTTTCAGAAAAGTATATTTTATTTTTGAAAGATTTTTTTTAATAAAGAGAATTACATTGTACTGACAGATGGCTAAAAATGATGCTACACAATCAGTGTTTTTTAGCAATTTCAAAACAAACTTCTTTCAGTCAATTTAAATTAGTTTTGAAATACAGCAAAGTATTTTGGTTTGCTTATTGGAAATATTAAAATTAATCTATTAGTTTGAAATTAAAACTAAAAAAAAAAAAAAAAGCTTCAAGTAAGATTTTTCATTTATTTTTTAAACCTTAGGTATTGCATTTTTGTGGAGGTACCTAAAAATTAAAAGTTTATAAAACAATCTAATTGAAAGTATTTCTTGTAAAAATTCATTATTCGAAATTTTTTTTTCTTAATTGTGTCCACTATATTTTATTCACAAAAACCAAAGTTTTTCTAATTAAAAAATTATTGCATTTTTTAATTTTATTTTCTACAACTGCAGGTCCTGTTTCACAAAAAGGATGGATTCAAAATTTCAAATCCTAAGAACATGTCCTTACATTTAGAAATTTATATTTAAATAATGTTTATATATTATAAACATTTAATTTGAAACGTTTCTTTTTTTAAAAGATAATATTTGTAAAAATACTTTTTTTTTTAACATCTGTTGTCCTCCGCCCACTCATTTAATTTTTATGTAATTTATTTAAGCAATACAAAAATGAATTTCTCGAAATTTCGTAAAAAATTAAATGAGTGGTAGGAGGGCAACAGATGTGATACAAAGATTTTCTAAAAAGAAAAAAAGAAACGTTTCAAAAATACTTTCAGTATGTTCATCAAACAAGTCCTGAAAATTTCATTAAAATCTGACAATTATCTGATTTTTGCAAGTATTTTCAAATCAATGTATTTTTCACAGCAAAAAAAAAGCTCCAATTTTTACTGTAACAAAATTAAGGTCACGCGTTGATAAAAAGGAAGAAAAAAAAAATTTAATTCCAAATCTCAAAGTTCTAAAAACGATTAAAAAAAAATTTTTTTTTTTTTTTTTTTTTTTTTTACACATCAAAAAATCTTTCCTCTTTAAATTATTTAAAAATAAAATCTTTGTTATTATTTAAATTAAATAAAGGTTTTGATGGTAAAATTTTGTTTGGACATTTTTTCATATATTTTCTTTTTAAGAGGGAGGGTACATAATTTGAAAGTTGTTTAAAAAGCAAAAACATCAGCATCATAATTTATATTTAATGATCCCAACCCAATTAATTATTTTAAGAGGCGAGAAATACAACAATTATAAGACTGTCAGATAATTTTCTTGAATGCTTCCTTATTCAAAGTAAAAAGAATTTAAGCAAAACGTTTTTAGATCCTATGCCCAACTTAGTCATAAGAGTGGATTTGTAAAAGGCAAATTTATTTATCTTGAATTCACCTTTGGTCTTTCAAGCCAGGTTTTTTTTTTTATAGGTAAATGTTTGAAGATGTACGCTGTGGAAAAGAATTTTGTTTGAGAGTATTAAAAAAAAAAAAAAAAAGAAGATATTTTCAGACAAAAAAACGGAGATGATGTGTATGTATCCTAATTACAATGTCCTTGACCTCTCCAATTTCTTTTCCACTGGTCATTCAGGAATGTAAGAGGGGGGAGCTGTTTTTTTGTTTTGCATTCAAAGGTTTTTGTTTTTTATTCGTTTTTTAATTGGTAGTCCTTACTGTAAGGGGGTACGTAGAACACAACTAATTAAACTTAATTTTGTTTTCTTTTTTCTTCACACGAAACAAATTCTATAATTTTTGTACAAACTTTCCTTGCAAAACAATCAACTTAAATCTTTTTGACTAGGTAACAACAACTAACCCTCAGCACAAAGTCTTCTTTGGGGTATTTTGTTTACCCAGTAGGTAAGCTTCATGTCACTTTGTTGATTGCTCGGTTAACATTTAAATAATATATTGAGTAATGTAAAGTAAGAAAATAGCATGGAATTAAAATGCTACAATTTTTAACAATAGTAAGCCGGTGATAGCTATCAAAATATTTAATTTAAGTAAGCAGGTACCATAATTTACTCAAGAAAAAAGAAAAAAGAAAAAAAAAAAAAACAAAAAACAACATTTCAGGTTACGTGTGCATTTTTTTTATCAGTCAAGAAAAAACACTTTTTTCTTTTTAAATAATTTCAAAGACATTTTCTCTCTCTTCTAGAGATATTTAGATAAAAGAATTTTTTTTTTTTTTAAATTAGATTTTGATAATTGTAACAGAGACAATACGCATAAAAGCAACCGTGACAGTTTGTGATGCGAAACTTAGGAAATCGTGCAATAATAGTTTTTATTCTGACTCTGGCTGTCTTTGAAAAAAAGAAATGTTTTACAATTTTTGTTGTCTCTAGTGTTCTAAACAAAACCCTATTTTTTTTTTATTCTAAATTATCGAATGTCTCACAATCTACGCAGATTAAATTTTTTGAACATTTTTTTTCTATCACTCCTAGTGACCGGGGCGGCGTGAATAATTAGAGTACAATATTCTAAAAATAAAATTTAGTAAACGAATTTTCACATTAATTTACACAATAAAAAATGATAGCTGTAAGTGTTTAACAAGCTTAAAATTTACACACACACATATATGTGTGTGTGTATAGTAGTTATTCTTTTTAAAAAAAGAAGAGTCAATCACGCCAACGAACCTTCAATTCTGTCTGATAAAAGACTTTCAGCTGTTTTAGATTGGATCAGCTTCCGAAAAGTATTTCCTACGTTTATTATTAAATAATAATTTTCTCCTTTTCGGTGTTTTTGTACGTTCATAGAAGAAAATTCATAAAGTAATAATGGCAAAGTAAAAAAATAAAAAAAAAAGGAAAAGTGTCACGTCAATGTCGGTTGTCCTCGAAGATATCACCTTTTCCAATCTGGCTTTACAATCAGAAAAATGGAAAAAAGAAAAAAAAGCTCCAAGAATGCGAAAAAGAGAGGAAAAGCTCAAGTATAAATTAACTACTTGGTTATACAGAATCCTTTAAAAAATATTAGTAAAAGAGAATAAAAAAATAAATTGTTCTGTTAGTGCCGCGAGTGGTTATCAATTGGAATTATGGAGAAAATCTCACATACAACTCAAGTGCAGAACAGACGGATTTCACAACCTTGCTAGTTCCTAAATCGACAAAACAGTGCACATCAATCAATCAATTATGATGATAATTATGAATAAAATAAATATTTCAGCTAATATATCTTACATTTTAAGGCTTAAAATAAAGAACATTTACTAACCTTATTTTAATCAAGGTTTTTCGCCTGCACAAGTAGTCGCAATCCGGCGAGATTGACGTAAAAATAACTCTACAATATTCGGCAGTTTTCGGTAATCTCCGTAAAGGAAATGTAAAACTCAATTCTGTTCTTTTTGAAAATATGAGTTTTCATAAACTTTTCAGGAAGGGCTTCGTTTCTCAGTAATCAGTAATGATCAGGCTAGATATTTCAAACTATTACCTCGATCCCAGAAAATACTCCAGATCAGTATTTGCAATTGTCCTCAGTCATGAAATGCATTTTTTACACTGTGCAATGGGGAGGTCTATCTCTAATTGACAGTCTATTTTAAAAAGGTCATTTTACCGAGAAAATCAACGTAAAAAAAAACAAACAAAAAAGTATTCTAGGCTAAAAAGTAGGTACATCGTATTTCAACTATTTTCATTGTGTTTATTTACTTTAGAAAAATGTTAATAATCTCTTTCCACCGTTGTAACTCTTTCATAATTAAAATAAACTTTTAAAATAAAAAGCGTAATTTAACAAGGAAGGAATGAACAATGATGAACTTATACTGCTGAAGGAAAAGATTTTTTTTACAAGAAATAAAAAAATATAAATTTAATTTAAAATTTAATTAGCTATCATAGGAAACAGTTATTCATGATTTACATTACAATAATTTTATTTAAAATGACTAATAGTAAGTAATTAATTAGAATGTTTTATTTACACATAACTTAACAGTTAAGTTCTCGTGTCAATCGATAATGTGTAGTCTACATTATCGATTGACACGAGAACTTTGAAAAACTAAAAACACGTTTTTTAACTCCCCTCAAAAAAGTAATCTAGTGGCACAGACAAGTAGATAAATGTAAATTTTGTAAAAAATGTTAATCTAGAGAAATAAATGTCTGTAGAAACGCCCTCTTCTTAGCATTTTTTGTTGAATTAGCATCGAATCACCGAGTCGAAAAAAAATGGAACAAGAAGAGAAGAGGCTAGAGACGAAGGAGAAAAATATGATGAATGCGAACATGAAAGTATATTTTCTTTTTCTCCTTTTTTATGAGATTAAAAAATTGTGATGGATTAAAAAAAAAAAAAACTAAAATCAATTAATGGATTTAAAAAAAATCTGATATCATTTCTTTCGTACACGTGTTTTGAGTTTGAATGTCACTATGTTTTTAAACGGTGAGGGCGAGAGATCGAAAGTTTTTATGCCACAGAAATCGAACCTATATTTTTGTCGGTTTTTTTTTTTTTTATATTGTTAAAAGTTTAAAGTAGCTTAAGATTTATGAATACAATAAAAATGAAAATGTCTTTTTGTGGGCCCCATGAGTAAAAAAAATTCTATGCCTTCCTGTCTGCTGTGATTTTTATGCTGTTAGTGTTCTATTTTTCGACTGTCCTGTTGAAATTTTTCAAAAAGAAAAAGTCTGCAATGTTCGAGAAGAGAAGCGTATTGTGATTATTTTTTGTAATCTTATTCTATTCTCCAATGTTACTTTCTGTAATTCTGATATTGTTCCATAAAGTGTCAGTGTGTGAAGAAGACTATTTTTCCATTCACACATGATCAGCCATACTTAACTTCATAGTCTTTTTCCTTGTTCTTGCAGCCTTGTCTTTAGAAGGTGGCCGTTCATACCTTTATATTCCATGCCACAACAGCATGTATGCTATATACGCAGTTTTTTGTTGTTTTTAAATCATTTCACCCATAGCATGTCCATAAAGCCACTAAGACGCAAGGGAGTAGCAGAAAAACACAAACACATAGATATAACAAATTAAAGCCAAAATTATACAATATTTAGAAAACATAGTGTAGTATCATATGCAAATGAGAAGGGCAACATAAATAGAGAGAAGGGGGTGAACAAAGAGCATTAATCAGCAAACCCATTTGCTAAACGTAACGTGGAGAACTCTGCTACAACTAATTCTAATTCAAGAGAAATAGACAACATAACAATTACACTTCCCACATTGTTAGATTTCTGTACTTGCTTCACTCTGACATCTACATACAATTGGTAACTTGCATCTTTGACTATACTTCTTGCTAATGAACATATATCACCATTAAGAAAAAGAAAAGAAAGACAAGAGGAAAGACAGCACAGTATGAGAGTAATCAGAAATAATAGTAGAAGAAACAAGGGTGTCCAGCCTCTTTGATTCAGGGAAGTCTAGATCATATGCAAATGAGAATGACAACATAAATAGAGAGCAGAGGGTGAACAAAGAGCATTAGTCAGCGAACCTGTTTGCTAAACATAATGTGGAGAACTGTGCTACAATTGATACTACTCAGAGAGAAATACACATCACAACCCATAGATCTCACACCAAATTTTCGTCTAGCTAAGTAACACACACACCGCACTCTACTCAAAACAAATTTTAAAACAAACACAAATATACCAGAATGCTGGCCATTACTGATGCGACTCTCGCTTGCCATAGATGTCTACAACTACATCCATGCATTTCCCTTATATAGTCTATAAGAGAAGCTGGACAGAGTCAGACTTCACACACACACACATGCTAACCATATTGGCTACCTGAGAGCATGGCTGATTGTCTGTCTAATGATTAGGCTGGGAAAATGACCTCCTGTGAATATAGAAAGAAAATCAAGTCCACTATCAATGCAACAAGCCCAAACTGATAGCCAACAAGCAATCAGCTGGATTATGCATACTCCTTTTTCACACTTTTATTTCACACCTCATACACTGTACATTCGAAGGCTACACTATACAACTTACCAGAGATGTTTTCACATCTTGTAAATGAAAATAAATCTTTGGTCATTTCTCCAAATCAGTGTCTAATTTGTTTCTTTACTCTAACCATCTTCCACATCGGATCAAGAGAATATGAGAAAAAAAAGCAAAAACATTATTTAGAAGAGAGAAAAATGAACAAGAATTAAGAATACATAAGATATTGATTGACATTGCATTTAAATATTTGAAGATCAAAGTTGACTGGAAAGCAAGAAGCCGGAAGAGAGTACCACAAGTGCAAAGTGTGAGAGAAGAAACTGTTAGCATAGAATTTACAGTCACATCTAAACATTTCAGTTATAAGATGATACGACTTTGCAGCCAATCTAGTTGTAATGTAATTTTTATAAGGCACATATGAGTAGGTAGGGGTTGTGGGAACATGAATTAGCTCAAAGAAATATTCTAATTAAATGTAATGGGTCTAATGTTGCTATGCGACTATTGGTTGTTTTTTCTGTATAACATTTGCTACTCTCCACTTACTGAGAATTGCCTTCAAAGGAGGTAATCTATCAACTTGGTCAGTACTATACTGCATGGCAATTATTACTACATTCTCCCTCACTTTATAAGTCCAATAAAGTGTTGGGAGAGGAACAAATAGTCCATAATGATTGCCTGACCACTATGGTCTTGGGATCTGGTATGTCAGTCTGGCATTTCTGATTTTTGTGTAACTTGGTCCTCTTCGTTTCTATCAGTGTTTGAGTGAGGTCCCAATTTGGCTCCAGTTATAGATTCCCCTTGTAAATTCCTTTACAGGAGTGCCAAATCCTTAAGAGAAACCATCTCTTCCTTTCCATCTGGCTTTTTTATCTAAGCATATTCCAAGTTGGCTTGTAGTAATTCTACCTCTACAACTGAAGCTTTCTCTTTGTTCTCTCTGACATGTTTCTGTAAGATTACCATCTTTGAGTCGGTTAACCAGATAAGTATGGAAGATCCCATACCTGATTTATGCTGGTAGTTGAACAGCCTCTTATGTGGGATGCATTTGGTAGCAGTACATAGTAAGTATTGTATGAAATGTAAGGCATCAGGTAGCACTATTTCCCACTTAGATGGGGGAAATGGTTTTGACTGAAGATTTAATTGTACTGACCTCTGGAGTGTTCTGCTTAGCCTTTCTATGTGTCTGTTTCTCTGAGGGTTGTTAGCTGGTAGCAATTCCTTTTGAATGTAGGAAGTCTTTCAACTCAATTGACATGAAGGAAGGTCCTCCATCAGAATGTATGTAGTGTGGCATGCCAAATACTATGAATAGTTCACATAAACACTCAATCAATGTGGCTGAAGAGATATCTCTGCATGTGAATGCAAAAGGAAACCTTATGAACTCATCAATGACTATTAGAATGTATTTGTATTTCTTTATGGATATTACGGTAGGTCATTGAAATCCATATTTAGCCTTTCAAATGGTTAGGTTACTTTGATCAATTTACCCTTGGATTAGTGGTTGAGTGCAATGATGAACCTTCCATAGTATTTAACTGGTGTATGGAATAGGTTGTTTGAAATCTGGACAATATGCATGCAGCAATTTCCTAAACCAGGTGAGTTAGGTTGACAGGAAAGCTGAAAACAGAGACATGCATAGCTGGAAGTTCAGGGCTTTTGTAAGCAGGTCTATTAACGCAGATCAACCAGGTGATTTAGGTAGTGATAGAGATGCCGGAAGTAGGGACTAATGTGTAGCCGGAAGTTCAGCACTGTTGTTAGCAGGTCCATTAATGCAGATCAACCAGGTGAGTTAGGTTGAGATAGAGATGCTGGAAGTAGGGACCAATGTGTATCCAGAATTAATAAAGTCCAGGAATGCTGGAAGATAAGGGCTTGTGGTAGATGGAAGTAATAAAGGCCAGGAATGCTAAAAGATAAGAGTCTGTGGTAGCCAGAAATAATAAAGGCTAAAAATGCCAGAAGTAAGAGTCTGTGGTAGCCAGAAATAATAAAGTGCAAGAGTGCCAGAAGTAAGAGTGAACAGGAAAGTCCAACTAGCATCCAGTTGACAGACAAAGATAAATGAGCACGTAACTCAATACATAACCTGTCCAGGCCCACTGTTCACAAAGATCAGGGTGCCTGCATTTCGCCTCTTACTTGTTGTCCTCTATTTCGTCTCTTCCCTCATCCTCCACAAGTGGTGAAAAACCATGAGCGTATGTGGCAAGGGTGTATAAGTACTTAATATAAAAAAAAATGAATCCCAAGTTGCTATGAAATATACAAGGTGTTATAGAATATTCCTTAAGAGTATGTAGATTATATTAAAAATGAGAAAACTTTGGTTGATAGTAAATCTAGATAGACTTGTTAACTCAATTGAAGAAAGTGGCGTGATGCAATTAAAAACAAAAGAGCAAGGTCATGGACTTATATAGTGTCTGCTCTTGATTATGTGAACGGATGTGGAGTAGCAAAGGGGCTATGATAATAGTACCAACCACAGCATCTTCCAAACTTTTCTCTAACTTTTGGATAGTTTTTTTTTGTTTCTTCTGGAAGGGAGAATGTTATATATCGGTTTAGCTTTAATATTTTGTCAGAATAATTTTGGATCCATTTTCTATAGTATGCAAAATATCCCACAATCCTTTCCTGGGCTGAAAGAGATGTAGATTCTCGAAGCTCTTCCAGTGGCTTTATACTTTTCAGATCTGGTCAGATCCCATTATTTTTTACTTTATAACCTAGTAGTCATAGGTTTTCAACTATTAATATAGACTTCTCATTAAATGCAAACCCATACTTGTCCACTATCTCTCTTGGTCTTCTAAGGATCTGGTTTTGTTTCTTCTTATTTCTGCTTCAGACAGTAATACTATCTAGGCTAATAAACATGTCTTTTAACCCATCTATGGTCTCATCGATTATCCTCTGGAATCCAGTAATTCTATTAGTGTTTCCAAAGAACATCCACTTAAGTTAGTAGTCAGCGCTTTGCCTCAAATGTTGTAAAGGGCTTATCTTCCTCTCTAAGCAGGACCTGGTTACTGGCACTTTTTAGGTTCATTAAAGAACTTATAGACAGTATACTTTGATATAGCCAGAACCATATTGTCTATTCTGGGTAGGGGGTGCACATCCCAGTCAGTGGTCACAGTTTGTCAAAGACTAATTGCCTCTTGTGGTTTTCATCTTTCATGATTAGTGGCTGAGCCCTCAATGGTGATTGACTCAGTTCAATAATACCATTCTTCAGCAATCTAGAAACTTCCTGATTGAT